TCTGGGTGGATAGGTTCAAAGTGTTCCAACCCTTCTTTGAGCAGGAGACCCTATCACAATTACTGGCTTACATGTAAAGTCCACTTCTGGGTTAAAACCCTTGGGGTGTGCATCTGACATCAGCCACCAGTGCTGTAATGGTCACCTTTTGGAAATACATGTACATATACAGACCATATTGCACCTGTTCATCAAGTCTTCAACAATAGATATCCAATCAACAATAGCAACATATACCCAAGCATGGTTCCCTTTGACAGGCATCATTTTTGGGGGGGAAGGGATGGTAAAAAAACCCAATCCCTCCACAAATTCCCAAACAGCCTCCATATAAAGAGAAAAAAACACAGCTCATTGATCTATTGCTGATACGGGGTGAAAAACACTTCTTTTGTGTGAAGAGCGCCAATAAAATAACCTCTGATTTGTGGTGTTGAGAGCGTGTCATTGTGACAGCAAGAGTTCTTGTTGTGCAGGATAGCTAGCAAGAGCCTGGGGATCACACTTGGCAAAAAATGTTTATGTCTGGTTTCAGGTTAATACAGGTACGGCGTGTACCAGTTGTCACAGTACAGGAAACGGGTACATGGCTCCTTAAACCCAAAATGAACACATCCTAGTTGTGGTCAAGACACGTGGCGCCACTCTGTGAACATAGCATTTCTCTTGAAGAAACAGGGGCGGGTCCACAAATGTTTAATGTTGCAATGCAAATGACTGGGGGGGGGAAGCATCACAGAAATGATGTACATCTTGGTCTGTCCGCCAACTGATATGAAGAACAGCACAGTGCAGTGAGCATTCCGTCACTCACTTTATGAACTCTAGATCTACTCCAAAAGTAACTTCCACTTCCATTCTTCCATAAGTGCTGACTCAAGATACACACACCTTATCAGTTCTACTCAACAACATTATTTAATGAAAGTGACAATGCGGGTACCGATACAGTCAACGTTACTCTGTTGTCTGTACTGATTCTAAACACCTCTGGCCCGAACATGACTGCTGACTCAGTAAGGTCACACAGAGGGCAGGCAAACCCAGAAAACCCCTTTTTGTGTTTGCCGTCACGTCGAACCGATCGAGGTGATTGGCCCAGGTGTTCTTTCTCTGCCACAGACCGCTTCTCTGCAGAATTTTCTGACAATTTGTGTACTTGTAGGTTGAGCTCAGTACAGTGGGCTTGGAAAAGTTTGTACATCTTCATTTAAATTCCAATTTGTTTTTTTTTTTAATCGAAAATTTGAGGGATGGAATAATCAGGGGCTCCTCTGATAAAATGTGACAAGCTGGAACAAAACGGACAACTGTACATACATGTGAACAGTTTTAAAGTCCATGATAAAATCTTGCCAGACCTTCCATACTACAATTCAAGCTTGACTTAGGTTGTAGAGTATGGACCAGTTTATGCTGGAAATTTGAAGACGTTTAAGAAGACAGCGAAGAGAATGACTCAGATGAAGGGGCAATCACCGTAAAGAAAAAAAGGGTGTGTTCAAACTTAAAGGGAGGGTGTGCCCATGGGGGCGCACACGGCTTTGTGATCTGCTCCCCCTTCCCGTTTGGAGCCACGGGCAAAGCCAGTAAAGTGCCTCTACCAGAAAGTATCCCCATACCTGCTGGCTGGCATGCATGCATGTACAGCAAGCATGTACATGTGCGTTACAGGATTCCGCACAAATGAGTTTGACGGATTTATTTACTGGTAGTAATTTTGTTAAAAGTTGCACGAGAGAGAGAGCAAATTCAGTTACTCATTGTGAGGTACCGTTGGCAGGAAGCTTGGCACGCACGCACGCACATCAATAAAAAAATTGTTGCGCATGGATGCCTGCATGGGGCAAAATTTATTGTAACCCGGCCTCTAACTCAAACGTTGCTCTGAGAACTTGTCATTTGCTCAGATGGGTCACATATCATGATCTACGATCATGATCTACATGTACATGTTGGAAGTGACAAACACGTACATGTAAGACACTGAACTTATTCTGCTCGTTTATCAACATCAACCGGTAGGAAAATACAGGTGCCCAAGATACATTATGAATGACGTTGCTAGTTTCTGCACACAAAAAGGCCGTCTGGAGCGAGTGACAATTCACGGGGTGCCATCAAATCTGACATTTTTTTTCTTCCACAAATCTTGCAGCCTTTGCATACACGTAATCAACCTCAAGGGGTCCCCAAAATCAACCACAAGGATCCATGGAGTCAATCACACACACACTGCACTGGTTCTTCAGTAGAAAACAACGTTGAGACGAGCATTGTGTTTGTCCGAAGACAGACACTGAGCTGTTTCGGGGAAATCTTTCAGATGAAAAAAACCCAAAATTTAGTTGGAAAGGGTGGGAATGAAACTGCCGTTGTTAAGTCCGCAGTTCAAAATTTAACACACACAGTCCATGCAAGGCCCGATATGCGTGGTTGGAAACTTGCCAGATTCCCCGAAACAGTGTGGCTCAATTTATATGCGCTACACGTACAGAGGAAATGGCTCTTACCGCTACAGTTCTTGCCCCTACAGGTCATGTTGCCGGCATTACCAGCGGATGGCAATTTTTTTCGTTAGCAGGGCAATGCATGTACATGTATAAACAACGGAAGGACCTCAACACCTTGCACAGTTGATGAAGATGGGGAACTTCAGCCTGTACATGTCAGGATTGATTTTTTTAGCTTTTTAAAATGAATTAAAGGTCTGCTTGTTATAACTTCCGGTTTGATGAGGTCATCAGCCTAATTTTTTTGCACAAACGTTGCAGGTGTTAAGGTCATTGTATCAATCAATTTTAAAGTCATTCTAGCAAACTTTGCCACAGACATCTATTCAAAATACTTTTTAATCATAGTTTAACCTGTTGCCAGAGGGCGCTTGAGTATTGCAAGACGTCATCGGTACATGTTTTGAGGAAAACAATTGTGTCGGAAACTAATACCATTGAAAGTAGGTTCATATCTATTATCAATTTCAAATTATAAAGTACTTCTGGTTAAGACCAGTTTTGACCGGAAGTAAGGGTCAAGCGATTTTACTTACACAAGAAGAAATGAAGACCAAACATTATTTTATCATTTGACACAAAAAGCAAGCTGTGAGAAGTCATAGTTGATTTTATCTAGATTTTTGAAGATTGAGCACGAATAATGCACTTGTAATTTGGTGCCTGATGATGTCATCATGACGTCATTCCTTTAGTACATTTTTACCATCCCAGGCTTTTGTCAAACTTTGATGAAGATGCAGAACGCTTTGTTTCGAAAAAAGCTTTCAAAAATGTGTACAAAACATTTGGGAAAAACTCAAATATTTAAAATTCTATAATAAATCGGGTGATGACATCATGATGACGTCATGATTTGGCATACATCTGCAGATGATAGTCTAACTACCGGTCTGTGCAAGGTTTGAAGGGAATTGGTCTAAAGACCCAAAAGTCATGTGTAGAATGACCCTGTGTTCTGTCTATGGGGAAAAAGTGAAAGAAAAAGTAAAAAAACAAAACAAAACAAAATTTTCAGAAAACAAAGCTGTTTAGGCCGGTGTCCAAGACAGCTAATGAAGCACCCAACATGCCCACCCTATTCTACCTGTCATTGAGCTGCGCTCACCTCACTTGATTTCCTCCCTTTCTTTTGATAACGACTCAATTTTCTTGAGTGGGGGAGGAGGGGGAGAGACGAGCGCAGGAGGAAGGAACATGAATCTGTCACTTCTGATGCCAAAGGCATTTTGGGAAGCACTAGGAAAAAAAATTTTACAAGCTATCACAATCACATTTCAATCAGAATTTAAGGATAGCAGACTGAGGATTGTGTAACTTTTTCCTAATTCACTTTATTTTTCCAAGTGCAGTTCTTTCAAGCAAAATCTTTAGTGTTGTGTTTGATCTGAAAGAAAGGCAATTTGAAAGGCTTCCACGTGGATTTGAATCTACAAGTGGGGGGGAAGGGGAATGTGATGCAATTCTTGAAAATAAACAACATGGAAATTTGAAAACCTGGGAGCGGGATCAGCTTTGCCTATTGGTCAAGAGCTTGTCACATGGCCCGTCTTTAAAACATTGATTCATAAATACCTCAGACAGTTTCCTTATTCAACAACGTGCAACTTGACCGCGTATTAACATTTGATAATGCCCGCTGAGAAGTGATCATGCCCGCTGCGTAAATCACGTGCTGGCACCTGGATGTGAGAGAGTTTAATCAATTCTGATTGGTCAAGAGTCTGTGTGCACATGGCTCGCCACGCGCTTTCCACGTCCATACTGGTATAAGGAGATTCCTTTGGATAACTACAAAATAAAATGAACGGGGGTGTTCAGGAAAATGAAAGTAAAATTCTAGAACAAAATTGTTGGAAACTGTCAAATACTGACTCTTTTCGACTCTCTGACTAAAACAGGTATTTATGAATGGGAATACAAATGCCCTTGGCCGGTCTTAAATTAACCCTAACACTCCTCAATCCTTCACCTGTTGGAGGACTGAGGACTGTTAGGGTTAACGTTTAATACCGGCTCAGGAGATTTAACGGTGATAATGAACTTGCCTGTGGCTCGGGTATTAGCTGCATCCATTCTCCTCAGCCGGCGTTAAACGCGCATTTATTCCCTTAATAAAGCCCCCGCTGGCAATACGCACACCACACACACCCCAATCTCCACATAAGCAGATTGTTAATGCAACTGCTTTCTAGAGGAATATATGTACCATCCATCTAACATGGCTAGAGGGGCGTTTGAAGAAAAAAGAGAAGTATACGTGATGAACAGAATCGTTGGAAATTTAGAACTTTGTGACTCATAATATATTTATGAATGGGAATCAATACGTACTTGGCCGGTAAGACCCGCTCAGGAGAATGGATGCTAATAATGCCTGAGCCAAAGGCGAGGGACATTACCAGGTTCCATTCTCCTAAGCCCATCTAAAACATTTAAGATCAGCCAAGTACATGTTTATTCCCGTTAACATTCTACAGCAGGTACCTGAAGTGCTTCCATGGACTTCTCCAGGGACGGGACAGTCACCAAGAGGCTGCCAGCCTTCCTCAGCGTTTTCCTCAAGAATTTCCAAACGCTACGGAATGACAGGAAAAACGGACAACACAAATTGAGATTTATGTTCTCGTGTTGAGAACACGCCACTCTAAAACTTCACCTCAAAAATGTAGGAGCGGGATGAAGTAAAACTGCAACCATTTTGCCCCAAATTTCTAATGGCCTGTGGAAACGACACTTTATTTGAACTTATTTGCTGTTGATGGGAACAAATCAAAAATGATTAATTCAACATGGAAGTTAAATTTCTGTACCATGGAAACTATTTGAAGTTTTGATATCAAGGTTTCCATAAACTTTACATGCATAACATCTATAACATTTGCGATATACATGTGCACATGTGTGCACATGCGACCTCAATGCACGCTTCAAATAATGGGCTTTCCGTTTTGAGTGTAAATTATCTTGCAGAAACATGTTTGAACGCATCTAGCAAGTAGTTGTGACTCACAATGTAATCATAAATACTTCGGACATTTGGATCATTCTAATTGAAAGGAATTGATTTGTTTATTGCTATCTGTATATTCATACTATGGAAATCATCTTGGCCCCTCATGCTTAAAACATTAAAACACTTGCAATTCCATTAAAAAAGAAAATGCAGTACACTATCTCCTGCATCGTAGTTGTGGGGACATCTCAACATTTCACCTATTTTGCGGGGACTGAAAACATTGTGAGGACTCAAAAATGTCCCCACAACTCGGTTCAAATTTCCCCAACAAAAGAACTTGTCCCCTGAATGCGGTGAATGCCTTCCCATGTTTATCAGTATATGTACACAGGGAAAATATTTGACGCTTTTGGTTTGGAACAAACCATTTCAAAACAAGCTCAAAATCTAAGTTAACTTTTTGAAAAAAGCCTGCCACCTTAAGGAAGTTTTAAGCTTCTTTGATGACAACTTCTCTGACGCAAACACAGAGGTCGACATTTGTTGCTCTAATCCTGGGGCCAAGTTTATGCAGACTGGTTTCAAGCGGCTCTCGATTCCAGTGTTGATGTGAAGGCATGAACAAGTTACGCTCTCAAAATGGGCATTGCCAGAAGTTTTTCTAAGGGGCAGGCAAAACCCTCATCAGCTGTAAGCTGACAAATTGGCAGTGGAAACAGTTTCAAATTTAGAGGTATTTTCAGGCAAACTGGTGATTTCACCCCCTTTCCTTTTTCTGCTTCTATTACTTTTTTTCCATTTCATTTTTAAATATTCAACAAATGTTCAAAAGGAATGTGTCCTCTGTAGCTTTGTCCTGCTAATGTTACTTGATTAAAGTGGAGGGGGGTGCGTGATGGACAAGTGAGGTAGGGAAATAGTCGGTTATATCCTACTCTCTGAAAACTCTACCGACGTGGACTTGCTGCACACTGTTATATGATGAGCACCATTCCCTATTTATCTGTACATATTTCTCAATGTCACTAGGCTCAGGGCGGAAGTTATCATCCATTAAGAGCATACGTCACCCTCAATTTGTCTTGGCTCTGTTCCCGAACAATAGGTATGGGACGTATTCAAAACATCACGTTCTCTCGGCCTTGTAGTTTACGTTGCCAGTACACGTGCTCGGTGCACGACTCATTGTTCTCGAGCCTAGGGGGGGAAATTCAACATACAAGGTGGCTGTTTTCCTGGACTGAGCAGGCAGGAAGGCACAACTTAGCTTCCTAAAGTTAAAAACTTCCTTTCTGGGCCTCAATGCCAAATGATATCAATCAAAAAACACATGTTCTCTCCCACTTCCAGTTGGACGGGGACTTTTACAAAGTTACTTTCTTACACAAGTGTTATTATTATGTTGACAACCTAGGCCCATATTTCCTTTGTAATGTTTTATGATTTACTAATTTCTGAGGAGCAGGAAAGATTCCTATTATAACTCTACCGCAAAACATCTGGACATCTACCATTTCCTATAGCTGGGCAACTACTGTCAAATCCATTTCACTCTTTGCAAGATTCTTTTTATCAGGTAAACACAAAGTGGTCTAAAAACACTCCATAGGAATCTAACAGTACACTTGTTCATAGCAGTTGCATCAAACTGACTCATTGGACATACTGTAATGTCATTTTGAAATGCAGTTGCATACATTTTCATGGGTACCCACATTAATACAGAGATAAGCACTACAGTACACGAAAGAACATGTAACATGTAGTCATTACTCAAAATCATCAGGGATGGGTACCGGTATCTCAATGCTGTATCACAGTCCTTGCCACAGTCCTTGTCACAGTCCTTGTCACAGTCCTTTGACTCTTTTTACAGCTTGTTACAACCTTAACGCTTATCAATTAACTTGGACAGAAAACAAATCCCACAAATCATCAACAGAGGTTCATTTCTGGATCATTTCTGAAAATCTTCAGCTCAAAATTCAGTCAATTTTAGGTAACAGAACCCATAAAATGGAACTGGGTTCTGGCTACCATTTTTGGATGATTTAACATACACTGTACTTGTCAAGTTACCAAGCGCAGGTATAAGAAAATGCTACAGTGCAGGTTCAAAGCACACCAAAAAAGTGCCAGTGCATTCAACAATGTACCAAAAGTATATTTAGCAATGTTAGTTACATATGTGCAGTTTCACAGTGTACTCTGTATCAAAGATATCCAGCTGAGTGGCACTCCCCGCAGCCACGGACTATTTTGAAGTTGTCCTGTCAGGAAAACCCACGAGTCTGAGAGAGTGCCACTGTTTGCTACCAAGTAGGCAGCAGGGAAGGAACAACTGGGAGGTCATGGTGAACGGAGTTCTGGAGAATACACAAGCACAGTCAACGCGAACCTGTCCTGCAGGATGAGTCAGACACTGCCAAAGCCACTTTTTCATTCACGCTGAAAAACTCGGTTGAATGTGATTTAGATTGAAACAAGGACTCATCCATTCTGACATTTTGTAATCACAGCCTTTAAACGTTAACAACGTTTTGCCATCATAGGAACCGTAATTTGTGCAACGAAAGTCAGCTGGACTTGTCGGATCCATCAATCTTATCCAGTCTCCAGTTATCCATGCCTCAAACAATTGCGTCTTCATTCTTCAGGAATATCAGTTTCGTGGCCATGTGTTTTGCTTATCCGACAAGTTTAAGTGCGATCTTCAAACAGTGAATACGCTGGTTGTCACACCTTTGCAATCCATTCAACTGAGCCACCTTCATTACATTACAATAATGTTTTCTTGGACAGTCGAGACACTGGGAAGGTTGATGATTTCACACACACTGTAAATACTCAGCGACTCAAGCTACATGTAGTGTGTGGAGGTTGAGCATGTGGGGCCTTCAAGCAGCCATGGGCCACTGACAGGTGTTATAGCCAACACTGCTCTGCGACACTGTCTCAGAGTTTCACACACGTGTAGTTAACAACGCGGTGAGAAACATTGCACATATTTTCAACAAATGGCCACCTACTGCACATGTCAAGTCCAACTCTGTCAAGGACTGCGGATGTGGTATCTTGTCATTTTTAAATACCTTTAGTTGGTATTTTCCCCAGGAGATAACACCAACGGACAAGTGCTACCAAGAATAACAAGCTCAGCAAACAGTTGATATCGGGGTCTGAAGTCTATAAACAAAATTTGGCTACAGTGCACTTGGAGTGTCATAAGTAGGCTTCCTTACAACTTACCTTACAGCTTGGCAAAGCATGCCAACAACTGAAAGTGTCTCGGACATATTTTCAATCTACCTGTATTTAGACGTGAAAATATTAATATTCTCACGCATAATTTATCCCGATGTGGTCCCATCATTTGTTTAAAAAAAACTAAACATTGTCACTACATGTATACGTATAGAATGCTTCCATGCTGGTTTCGTTTTCCTCTCTTTGCCGATTCGAAATTGACGAGGGAGAAAAAAGTCTGCACAGCATCATACAGCACAAGTGACATGTGGGTGCCAAACTGGGAAGTGGGGGTTTCCAAGCGGGAAATATCAATCAGACATTAATGCCACATAATCGATGGGCAGGGGCGTCTCCTCCTTGTCATGTTGGCCACTGACTGTGATGACCTTGACAAAGTACTGGCCATTAAGCCGCAACGGACTTTCGCAAGGCCTTGGCAGTACTGTGGAGGGCATCCAGTTAAATATCAACGGTTACCACTTAATCCGCTCCAGGCAGGAACAAAGAGGGCGTGTTCTGAGATGAAATTGACAGTCCTTTGGTACACATTCACCGCATAGGCGCACAGGTTTACCAGCGTTTGACGTGGACCATGTTGAGTACGCGCAACAAATTTAGTCTGGAATGTACGGTCTTCGTGTGCACGCCGAACGCGCGCAAGAACCTGATTGGAAAACTTAGTCCCATCAGTCTTTCTTTCACTGGTGAGGGTGCACTTCGGCTCAGGGCATATAGTCCCGAAAAGTTCAACAGTCCCAATATAATGGTACTCCAGTCTAAAGATTCAATAGTCCTTGGGTGTAGCAGTCTGAAAATAGACATCAACCCTAACACTCCTCAGTCCTCCAACAGGTAGGATTGAGGAGTGTTAGGGTTAAGATGGCATGATTTGAAGGTTTGCGATCTTCGACGATCGTTTCCAGAGTTTAAAAAAAGTTTGAACCACTGAATTATTTTTTTTTCTGTTTATAATGAGCCTATTGAACCTTATGTTCTCAGATGTTAGCACCTAAACACTACAAACCTTATCCCTTAATGTTGAAACCATCCAAATTTTTGGACTGATGAACCTTCAGACAAAATGAGTTGAAAGTTGAAATTTTCAAAAATTAAAATATTGGTATTTTTGAATTCAGCAAAAAACGAGCTTTCCAGTGCAATGCACATGGAACACAATGTGACAAGGTTACAATGTGACGTTATTCCAGCAGCTGTGTGTCTTTTTTTGCAACAGTGTTTTCACGTTTCTCACCGGCACAAAGAATGCTATCATCCAAATTGCTGAGAAAATTATATTTTAAATATGATCCTGTGAAATGTTTGGAATCAAATAGGACACAGGTTACTCATTCCAAATACTACAAAACCCCCAAATGACCTCCACTTCAACATGACTTTGAACCCTCAAAATAGGAAAGAGCAGGATACGACTTTACTCTCATTTTGTCGTGACCGGTCACAATTAACTGCTAAATGACCCTTATTCCATTTATAGACTGAGGAACTTCCAGGTATGTGTTTAGGAAATTTGTGTGTTTAGACTATGAACCTTTGGATCAATAAACTTTCTGACTCAAACCTTCCGATTGCTGAGTGGACCCCCTTTTCAATACCTGAATCCGATTTCCATGTAAATGATTCCTTTCCCTTGTTTGGACAGCAAAACTATACATGAGGGTTTAGTGGATCTTTACCAATGCAAAGGGGGGTGGCAATGTTGAAAGTCCATCACCCGTGTGACACACACAAAACAACAACGAATACAAGAGTTTGTCTTCTTATCAAATGCAATCAGGTAATCAGTGAAAGGAAAACATGAACAGTTCCACCTAGGCAGTATCAGATTACATCCAACCCTGTCCTCCCCAAAGAAGACAACGTGCCCGGGGTTTATGAAAAATTTTGGGAACTTACAGAAAGTTTGAGGGCATTCACAATACCGCTCAAGGTGCTCCGTGGAACACAAATGCCAACATCCTACACACACACGTGCGGCACAAGTTTCAGCATTTTTACAAAGTTTGGGTTTGGGGAAAGCTTCCAACTTCGAGCAGCTAGTTCATCGCCTAGTCCAGCATTAGTAAAAACAGCAAATACAAGGTTCCAGCAATGACAACCAATCTCATACATGTACTTGTTCCAAAGCTTTGGAGACATAAACTTGTGATTACACTGACACTGTGGGGGTCCAAAAATGGTGTGAGGACAGATAAATGCCCCCAGAATATCCTCAGTCCTAATTCGCCTAACAATAGACTTCCCATAAAGCAGTTGGGGGCCTACCCAATGACAGTGGTTCTTGTAACTATGTAAGGCACAGTAGGGCCTATAGAACACTGGTGTTTCTAGAGCCTGTGGAACACTTAATCTGGCCCTCATGCTCCAATCATCCCGTCAACACCCAGCCCTAATTTGAGTTGGCCTGTAGATGCCGATGGTCACCTCCAATCTGAATCACGGTAACCCTCTCTGAGGTACCCTGGCCCTATCCTTTAATAGTTGGATGTACTAGTTCCTACCACTACTGCGTGTACAATTAAGTGAAGAGAAAAAAAACATAAAGACACACCCCTGAAGGACATACACTGTACATGTACAGATCAGCCTGACTGAGTCATGGTCAAAACATGACTCGCTAGTCATTGGCATGCCCAACTCCAAGTTGCCTAGAGTCCCTGCACTTTCAAGGGCAATGGGTGGCTGTCTTTCATGCGAGCACGCAGATCCCTTCACACTGATACAGTAGTCACCCGGCCTTCTTATGTCACGTGTCATACGTTTCCCATCATATCCATTTGTCAATACCAACTGTCCGAAAGGCTGTTCGACCCCTCGGTACTGACACCATTTGATCACATCGTAATAGGCGCACTGTAATCTTCTCACACGGGTTGTCATTAGGTACTGTATTCGGCATCGCTTTTAGCTCAATTTTCAGTGATTTTGTTTGTGGAAAGATTACACTGGGTGAGGAAAGCATATCGATAGGCACATGTAGGCAATGTAAAAACCAGATATTACAGTATTGTAAACTTTGAGCCTTAAAACAAGAATGTTAGACATTACATTTAACCCAACACAAGCTTGGCAGGTAGCAAGCCCTGCATTTAACTTTCTCCATTATCACCGCAACAACATTTTGAGTTAGACGTTTGCTTACTCCTTGGAGTTGGACAAGTCAGTTTTTGCAAGAATTGAAAAGACTGGTTTCTCCATCTTTGCCAAAAAATAATGAGCAGATTGTTTTGAATGTTAAACAAGTAATATGTATGATCATAGGCAAGTCGGAAGTGTGAATTCCCTAGATGGTTCACAAGACTTTTCATGCAACAAAATGAGGTGATTGTCAAGGGCAGAGCTGTGTTCAGAACAGTGGGCTAGGTTATAAAGGCCACCCCACTGAGCTACACAGAAGTGGGGCTAGCCCCACACATATTCGCGGCTAAAAGTGAGGCTGGCCACCAATGGAGGTGACGCTGAGCTGCATTAAACTGATAAGTGGTTCAGGTGCAGCTAGCTATCTGAAAGCTAGCCCTCTGTCTGAACGACTGCCCGGTACATTCTATTTCCACATCACTGACACTTAGGCTTAAAGGGAACGAGCTCTCATGGTAGATATTTTCAAGATAAACAGACCCTAGTGGGGATTGCACTTTATTTAAGATTAATTTGAGGAAACTTTGAATTTTCAACTTAATGACAGCTTTCCTGCCATAAGTCTCTATTCCATGGAAGGAGCATATTCTAGAGATAGTGTTTCAAAATGGAATAGGGGAATCGAACCCAAACATTCATTGCATTTATTGCACATGGACAGTACCAGACATACTTTGTATATTGTATAAACCTGTTCTTGAAGAAGTGTCACTTCAATTTCTCCCTTAAAAATAAACAATTCCAAATTGTAAATTTTATTTCCAATTGTTGGGTCTAGTGACTATGCTCACCTCACTTGGGCCTCTGGTGGAGCGAAGAATTCAAATACATTATGCATAATGATGACATCAGCTGAAATAGAGGAAAAATAGGCAGGCAGGGTCAGGCAACTTGGAGATGAGTTAAAAACAAAAGAACTTGTAACACCAGATTCCAATGAAAAATTGACCCATTAAAACACAATTGTACGGACAATGATATTACAGATCTTTTTCCACAAAGGGCGGCATTGAGGGGCCAGAATCGAGACTTTTTCTTAAGCTCTATCTTCGCAGTGGTCCCATCAATCCATATTGCCATCTCTTGTCCCTGCAGTGTGGTCGAGTTCGGGCAGCCTGCTCTTGACACAGGTTTCTTGTTCTCGTACTTGAACGGTGGGAACATGACCCAAGAATGCTGTTCTCAGAACGGGATCACACACCGCCTCTTTGTTAGCACTTTTCAGGAACACACAGAAAATCTTGTGAGACTTTGTTTTTTTGGACAGCTGCAAAAATTCACGAGATTGCTTACAAAGGAGGAGGCAATAGGAAGTGTTGCAAAATCAACATTAATCATTTCCAGCAACACAGAAATGACAGTTCCTTTTTTGGGTAGAAAAGAATTCAGCCCAGTGATCCAAACATTAATCCTCGAAGAACGTGCATGGATGCTGCCATGTTGCAAGTTGCTTGCCACCAACTACCAGCGATAACCAGTTCCATGTTGCCGGCGTTCGAGCAGCCAACCCACGAACAACAAATCGAGCTGTCCATGACCACAGGAGAACAAGCCGCCCGAACTCAGCCTGTCTGTACAAGAGATGGCAGGTTTTTTTCTATTTAAACAAAACAATGTCATCTAATTTGAGCAATGCAGGTCCATGTGCAAACGGCACAAAGCATACAGGGTCTTTGACTATCATCTCTTTATCAGTGTGCCTGCTCTTAGTGTGGGCACTGGGTGCAAATTGAAATGGTGCTCATCACTCCCTCTCAGGGGCAGCCCTTGAACCAAATGTTCAGGGAGGGGGGGGGATTTTTGGGAGGAGGGGAGGAGCCAAAAATGTGGACTTTTTTCATGAAACCTTTTATGGCCATTGAGCATGGTAAGGTTACATTTGGGGGCTTTTTTACACACTTTTGGAAGGAGAGGAAGTGAGATATATATTCTCTCAGTAGTCCTCTCCCCCCCATGTTTTTGGCTCCCCCTGGGGGCACAGTCCCCGTTGGCTCCTCCCCTCACTTGGATCTTCCCCTTCCCCTTTTTTTGTTGGTGAGGGAGTGTTTTCCCAAAGAGACATTGGTGCATTTAAGCTGAAAAACTGAAAATTGGAGAATGCTGTTTTCTGGTCAACATCTGGTCAACTCAGTGAGCATATTCACCTTCTTCCAGCACTGCAGCCTCCGTGCACACATCAGCATTAATGACCTGCAAGGAAAACAAGATGATCCCCAGGTGAATTACTAAAAATGTGTCATTAACCCTAGGGCCTTTCCGGAGATTTAATATCAAGAAAATGGGAAATTTCAATGGACGACATCATATTCCTGGACTTTTGGGGAGGACATGTTCAAGGGTCGGTTGATACACCACAGCACAGAACAAAGTTGTTTAATACAAGGGTTGGCATTAAATGGAAAATTCTATTTAAAAAATGGTAATAACTATGATGTGAGGCATAGCTTTGTTATTTATTTAACAAGCAAGATACACAAAGTACCTGTGGAAAAGCCAAAGGTGCTATGCAGATTCTGGGATTAAAAACCACAAGCACCACATCACAGCAGTCAAATGCTGTTCTTTTATATGATGCCTGGCAACCTTGGTTGAGGGGGCATTTCCATTTTTAGGTTGTTCAGGACCAGAAGTGAAGACTTTTGTACATGTCCCAGAAAAATTTTGTCCCCATAATAACTCATTCTGAGTCCCTTCAATTATGAAGGGACTCAGAATTGAGTCTCTTCAATCATGAACCCCTATCTGCCCATGTTGTCCACACTTTTAACTTCTTTTGACAAGCTTCCACGGATTTTTTAACGTGGCTCTCCAATCATAAACTTTGAACGCTTTCTCAGGACCTGCCTCCGTTACCATCTTTAGGATCCATTGGCAGGACTTCACTACCAATGAGGAAGTCCACCCCCCCCCCATATCTGTAGGAGACTTCAACTCCTCGACCATGTCGCCCCGCTTTGCGTGAGAGTTTCAGCAAGGTAGATCCTGCTCACTGCCAGCAGATCCCACCAAACGACTGGCACAACCATCTTAGCTGCTCCTGTCTCACCTAAGTGTGGCAGGTTGCTCAGGTCTGTTCGATACGCCCCCTGATGGACCTGGCCCCAAGCCAGCAGGCCTACAGAGTGTTGTTCACCATAGTCACTCACAAACCACATGATGTCTAATATAAGTACATGTACCAGTACAAGTAAGTCTCCAACCATGGACCCTCACCCAACCGTGGACCCTACTATCCTCTGCTGTGCAATGCCCGAATTAAATCAGAATTACATGTACCGGTAGAAGCCATGAATGCGGTGGCACAACGCTCCTGGACAGGTGATATGCACTCATTACACGCCTCTTTGACCAACGGGGCGCAGTGTTATGTCAAAAGCCGGGCAAATATAGCTGATCTAGCCCAATGATGCGATTACGGTATCCAAGGTGTATTTCTTCAAAGTGTTCATGCCAGATTGGCAAATGCGACTGTTCCTAGAAACAGAGGGGATTGTAGAAGAATGCAATAGTGAAATGTTGGTTCACCTCGATGCGATCTCTCAGGGCAAACTTTCTGATGATGTCTCCTTGAATTGCACATAGCTCGGGGTTGATTTCAATTCCTACTATCCTCGAGGCACTGCTGTAGAAGTAAGCCTGAATAAAACAGAAGGGAAAAAAAAGAAAGAACAATACATCATGCAAATGCTGGATTTGCGACTTTCGATGACGTTTTGAATATTCCTTGAAAAATGACTGAGCTGTTCGACAGGTACATGTATGGAAGGACAGCCCTAACACGGTATGGGGAAGTTTTTTATGAGACAAAGTTGGTGTTGTGACGTGTTGTATGTTCCCACAACCACAGGAAAAAGTACCTGTGGGATTGTCCATCAAGTACATGTATGATATGTGTTCACTTGAAGAAACTGAGGCTGGCTCTGGAGGTCAGATTCCCTGGCCTATTGACGTTAAATGGGTTGGAATCTTCCAAGAAAACACTGCCATAACTTGTGGTAGGTTAATGACATGTATCGAAGAGTCAGGTTGGCAAGAAGTGGTGCTTTCCTCGCCTTTGCAAATCAGAGGTTGGATCCCACCCTGGTCAACATGTGGATTGGGTTTTCGGTCCCTAGATGTATGTCAGTGGGTTTCCACCCATGTTTGCCTGGGGTTTTCCTCCATCTCTATAACCAAACATTTCTTCGCTGACTCTGCCCCCGAGGCCCCTAGGGAGAACAGTGTTAAACTGATGGGGCTTACCCTGGTTTAAATAATGTATAAACAAAACAAACATCACCATACATGTACATACATCGATATATATATATGTACGTGTGTATCTTGATGACATCATTACAATGATGCGTATCACATCATCAAAGAGAGGCAACTTGTACTCCATAACAGATTTTCCTTTCACGTTTTATGTATCGGATATAATGTATTTCCCAAGGAAATACAGGATTCACGGACGACCTCTCACTACGGAGTGACTTACATTTGGGCGCCTATATTTAGGCTGTGACATCATTGTTACACCTGTTATTTATGGCTATGGCTAATTGGAGCGGTGAATTGAGACCAACAGGTGGAGAGGGGAAACGGGGGATATTTTATCATGCAAGCCTGTCTTAAGTTATCAGTTTTTAAAATAACTAATTGATTCGCATGGTCATATTATGACCTGAAAAATCCATGAACAACGGGTACGGTCAGGCTGAAGCTGAAAAGGATTAATTCAGTGGACACAGGTTGATTTTCCATCAAGAATTAGTAGCTCAATGGATAGATGTTAATTACCAATCACGGCTGTGATGATGGGCTTTGCAAACCATCTGAATAAACTCAACATTAGTGTGATGCATCATGTGTACACGTACATGTTTCCGCAGCAAATCCTAAATATTTCCTCTGACATGAATAGCAAGTGCCAATAGTTACACTGTACATTACTTCTCATTTTACAATTACCACGGAAACCTCTTTGTCTGTGTGAGGCAGCAAACTTCAAATCTGCTTCCGTAACTTCACCAAAGGTTCTGTTCACTCTAAGAGTAATCGAATCTTACGTACACGTACTGTACATGTACCATACATGTAGCTATCAAAATGCTAACTAATACACACATCCACAAAATAAGGGAAACATAACCCTTTAAAAAAAAAGAGAGGCAAATGTACATTTCGAGATACAATCTGATGCCAGCCGAGGGTGATATTTATCTGCAAACTTTGGCTGCTCGTAGGAATGGCAGGCGATGGGCGAGTGATTGTCCGCAGTGAAACAGAACCAACAGGCCGGCAGAAGTGATTGTCAGCTTCCTTGGATGTGGGCTTGGTTATTTTATGGTAAGGATGCCTCTTGAGGCCAGCACACTCTGCAGAATGCACCAGCTCATTGGCAGATCCATGCGGATGGGGCAAACAGAGGCCACGGCCGAGCAAAGAAAGACCACTTTTATTTTGTTTGGGAATTGAAATAAAATGAGAGAAAATCAAATTGTTTTTTCTTTTCACTTCCCTTCCTCCCAAAGCACATAACCCCCCCCCCAAAATTTAGTCCCTCAGACAAGCCATAAATGGTTACACTGAATTCCCCAATTTTTATTCCCTCCAGACAAATTTGGCTCTAGATCCAATTGCAAATGCTTCTTTGTACATATTTTTACATCTGGAGTCAACATGGGTGTTTTTGCAAATCAGAACAGTCTGTTCAGAGAGCAATTTGTGCATGAAACAATAGAGGGATTTCACATTAGTGCCGTCTGTGTATATCTGCATCGAAACCGAGGCTCTCTGTGTTGAACTTCATTGCGCGTGCCCGCGCAGTCCACACAGTACATGGAGTATCCGGTTCGTAAATGTGACGCCACTTCAGTTTAAACCATACCCACTGCATAAGATACACGACAATCGCAGGTACGTTAGTTTGCAGTAAATTGTTTTTGATTTTACGTGTCGAGTCATCCTGAAAGACTCTTTCACAAAAATTTGCAGCCTGAAAAGTCTGCATTTAACATACCATTATGTATTTTGTGTCTTGCCTCCTTACTTTCAATCGCCTGATCGTACCAAGAATTGAAGCTGACACATATAGCCTCATTTTCGAACGCAGAAGTGCACAGATTGAAGCTAAAAGCATTGTATTGGGATCCCTCTATTGACGTTTGAGTGACATTGAGTGTTCGCCTAACCAATATCCAATATCTTTTGATCACCGATGGGGCATAATTTAACATAAAACCTATAAAAAAGACCCTTTTAAAATTTCTAAAAACTTGTTGCCGTCTCTTATCTACTTATTGCACACTTCTCTGCCGAAACCACACAGTAGCCCAAGTCAATATCGCAGAGGACCCTTGTAAAGGTATCTCTATCAGCCAAAAAATAACTAGCCACAGTCTCTCAAACAGCTAATTCACAAATTTCCCTGGCACAGTGCTGGGAAGCTAAACGCTCACTTTAATTAATGGGTTTGGAAATAAACCCAAAACACATGTACACAAGCAGTTAATGATTAGTGACACGTCCCTCTACCTCTCGAGGGTTTTGAGCATGCTCAGAAGTTGGTTCAACCCCTGTCACTGCACAATTTCCCACTGCCCGGACGAGAACGTACACAAACACTCAACAACGGATGTCATACTGGATTCATAGAGCCAAGCCCACACAATTGGCCCGCAAGCGATAAGACGGACACACGCCTGACATTGGATAAAAAAGCAAGGCCCTTAAAACGAGGTCCTTGGACATAAATCAATTCTGCCGTACCCCCTCTCCCAACACACACACACATACAAATGATTTCCTCCAGACCTGCTGTTAGTACCTTACAAAGTAGGAAGCCCTCCTCCCCTCCCCTTTCAACAGGAAATCATGGGTTGAGACTCCTTGAGGATTGTTGTGCTCTGGAATGACCATGCATGTGTGGAAAACAAATCACCAAAAGAGGGCGCTCTTGAACATCACAGTTATGAACATGTACAACTTCGGCCTGAATTCTTGCCACTGGTATGCAACATCTACATGTGCATGTAATTAGCCTTTTTGAAGCATGGCAAACACAATTGGAGGGTGCTAATTGAAGTGGGTAAATTTGGAGCAAACACAAAAGATTTTACCTAAACCAGATGTTCGCCATACCTCAAACAGGCTAATGAAAGTCTGTTTCAAAGAGCTTGTGTACATGTACGTTTACCAAGAATATCACACATGTACATGTACTTTAAAAACAAAAATCTGCTTAAGTATGAGTACAGTTAAGCAATATAATTGAAATATGATTAAGCAATAATATACATTGTATTTGACAATGAAATTGTTCAGCAGAGCATAAGCATCTATGGACGCCATGTTGAAATGGTCAAGTTTAACCACCTCAGGGTTCAAACACAAAGGCTTCACTTTTCACCACTGAGTGCTTTTGCGTATTTGTGGGACAAACTACCAGACTCACTGAGTGCTGGGGTGGTGTAACAGTCCCTTCACCATTACACCAATTCCCTGAAATCCCATCTGTTCAACTGCAACTCAGACATTGTCTCTGTATAACTGCGTGTGAGCATTATTCATTTTGTCTGCAAATGCCATCCTTTCACCTCGTCCAGTTTTTCTTACCAAAGTTACATTTGTTTTACTACACTTTTTCGTGTTTTTAAATTTTTGTCTAACTACCTGTAACTTTTAGCATTTTAATTACTGTTTTGTTTTCGTGTGTATAATTATATATACATGTACATGTATATGTATATATGATTTTACATGATGCCTGTGGTATTGGAAAAGAAGGCCTGTGGGCTACAGTCATTCAGTTGAGTTTTTCTTCTCCTGGCATCTACTGCAGGCACTGTTTTGTCCTTGTCTTAACTAGTGAGTAGTATTGTTCATTATTGTTCTTGATGCCAAATGAATAACAATAATAATATAAAGATAGATATGTACATGAAAATGTACATATGTACTTCAGAATATAGAAGTCCCTATAATGCATACTGTACATGTATCCTTTTAACCATGTAAGTTGGCACTGGTTCTGCTATAACATCTGTCAAACTTATACATATGTACTTCAGAATATAGAAGTCCCTATAATGCATACTGTACATGTATCCTTTTAACCATGTAAGTTGGCACTGGTTCTGCTATAATGTCTGTCAAACTTTACTGCTGAATCTTCGGCATTCTGTGATTGTGACCCATGACATATTCATTACCAGTACATCTATGGCTATTACTGCAAATTCAAAATGGTAGGGGGCCCCACTGTCAATTTCCAAGACAGGCAGGCCAAAAATGTAAAGTTTTCCAAAAACAGTATAAACAACTTACTGCATTGCAACGGCGGACACATGGGAGAGTATTAACTGTAAATCACCATGACAACAAAAATGGATGCACTCATCACATGTTTATGTCTTTACATGCACGCCAAATCTCAGGAGGATTAGTCACTGGACAGCCACGAACGTGGGGATTGGGCTAAATTGGCCGCACATGCTCAACACTGTCTGTGCCACATGTGAACAAAGCTGTGGGCACCTCCGGTGAATTCCTAACTAAAAAGCATGTCATCTCTCCTTCCTGCTCGGACCGGGTAGGCAGTACAGAAGTGTGACGTCATAGTGAACAAGGAAGTGTGGTGCAAACAAACGGAATACACACTTGTGTTGGTTCACTTGCTGGTATTCGTGCTAATGCCTTTTACACACATAACCAAAGATCGTATAGCGCCGCATAGCAGCGCAAGATGGGGAACTTCACCATGAATACGCGTAAAACGTTGTTATCACATGAGCGCCATTCTGGTTGGACTACGCCTGTGCAGTGCCGTTTAATGCACAGGCGCAGGTGCCCCAACAGGCACACGCACACACATTAACGTTCACACTCGAATGGCGCCCATGGTGATAACACCTTTATGGCCGAATTACCCATCTTTGCACATAACTGTCTGCATGGCGTTTTCACTTCGGTACTCTATACATGTAGTTTAAGAGTCACAGATGGAAAGTGGCACATCTAACAGTGTACGTGCCGCAGGCAACAAGACCCAACCTACGTGCACTAATAGCTGAGGTTAAGAAAAAGGATATACTTACTCCATACAGGACTGGACCTAACCGTGAACCGATGTCGACTACTGTCTTGCCAGCCAGATCAGGAAGCGCTTTCTGGAACATAAATTTCAGCTGAAGCAGCGAAGCAGAGTGTGATACAAAATCTGTTTCGCGAAATGAAATAAAAGGAACCAAACTTTTTTATTCATTACATATATTTTTGTTATTTTTGTTACATGCAACTTGCGTATTTATGTTTTTCTTTTTTAGAGCTGTATGTCACTCTGTAATCCAGTCAGTATTCAATTATGGAAATTTATGGACTGGCATCTTTTTAAGTGGAACAAAATACAAAATAAATTCTTGAAACATGTGACACCAGATTAACCTCCAACTCTGCTGACACAGCAGGCTGACAAGTCTGGGGAGAACTGTTAACTCGAGTATGGCAACAGTGGACAGGTTTGTTTCGCATGGATCCGGATCACGATCAGTGATCCGAAGTTGGTTCCCCAACACCAGGTCTTGGCTGATGGATGGAGCGAACAGGTGTTGGGATCGAGATCCTGAAATCTTGGAAAACCCTCCAAAAGCTCCCAATTTAATACGGGAGATCCCGGAGTGTTTGGATTGGTTTATAAATTGGGTGAATGCGAAAGGGAAGTAGATTTGAGTTTATGAAACAGTGAAATTCACTAGAGTCAATATGTCTCGAACAACTTTGGCTAATTTGCAGTACGAATCAGTGATCTGAAGTCACAGATTTGCACATGCAGTCACCTTCAGGCCAATTACAAACTGGCCTCAAAAAAGGGGACTCACTGAGTCTTTGAGTCATAACTAAGGGAACTCACTGAGTGGTGCCGTGTGATGGGAGCCACAGTCCAGGCAGTAGTTGCGGCTCAGCATCCCCTCGTCGCACATCTCATCGATAGCCTCGTCGTCCTCGTACAAGAACTTGTCCACCGAAACCACAGTGACGGGGTCCAACGCAGCAAACTGGAACAAGAAAAGAAGGCAATCTCCCATTGGAGATAACACTTCGGCCATCTCTTCAATTTTGTAGAGCTGTTGAAAAAACACTGCTAGGTAGATAAAACATGAGCAAAGAACGGGTCCAAAATGATATTTCCTGAATGCGTACATATACATGCATTTGAAAAAAAAAAATAAAAATTATACACAAATGGGCTAATGTTTACAAAAACTTATGCACAGGGGGCAGTACCGTTACATTTAATCCTTTTCCAATGATACAGCCCAAGATTTGTGTCATTACATGTTGGTTGGTTGGAGCAGTGAACTGGAAACATTACGGCATCTTTTCTTTGGTTGGTTTGGTTTACCGTACCTCGCCGGTAGTTGGATGGTATATCCTCTCCGACTTGACCACAGCGTCTGGGGGAAGGAGCGAGTGAGTCCGGAGATCGTGGGCTATGCTGTGCATCATCACATCACAGTTGCTGCTTTCTTCTGATGGCAGTTGAACACAAAGAGCAGAGTCAGTGAATTAACGTCTTCAGGTAGAAGTTGTGAGTTCAAATTTACATGTACACGGTGACTCGAGCTGGAGCAGTGAGCCAGGTTGGTATTCCAACAGCCCAAACCCAATGTGAAGTACATGTACTTCATGGAGGAATAAAAACACATCCTCCAGGAGTACTTCTGGGGTCATACAGGCACAGCAATGTGCACGTGGGAGGTCCCTCCAACAGCACGGCCATACACTGACTCACACATGTGCGTACATTCCAAAATTTGTATCCTTGTGGAGACATGGCTTTGTTCTCCAGTACTAACACAGTCACGTGTGAAACGATGTTTGCAAAATGCTCCCATTTCAATATGAATCACTCTCCTGAGCTGAAGTTTGGATTGAATGTCCCTTATATGAAACACTTCAATTTGCGATGAAATCTTACGCATCAAAATTCCTACTTTTTGAGCTATTTCCAAACGTCAGTTTCGTTAAATCCTTGTGGAGACCTATACACCCTTAGAAATTCCTTGTGGAAACCTATTCAACCCATTCTCCTGGGTCTCCACAATGCGCTATATTCTGAAACTCTGTTCTAGAATGATCTTGCCTTTTTCAAAGTACCAAACTGACTCATTGTGTGGAATAGGTTACCCAGAATACTCGTACAGCACCTTTTAAATCTGCTTGAATGATGGAACATCTGAACCGGTTGTTTGTGTACTGTCTTGAAAGTTACATACATACGTGTACATGTATATGTAATACTTTATGTCCACATGCTTGTACAAATTACATGTGTACCTCTTTCTCAAGGAAAATTAAGCTCACATGGTTCATTTATTACTATAATTTCTGAATGATTCATAGATAAATATGTTAGAAAAACATTTGACTGCATGGCCTCAATCTACCAGTCCAGTGGGTATTTCAAACCCTGAAGGGACTTGCTGGCGTTATTCCACTGAAAAAGTTTGGAGAGCATGCCAAGAAGACAACAGCAAGATTTGATTTACATGTATTTCAAACTATGACATGCCTTACATGAAAGCAGCTTTGGAGTGCGTTAAAAGGTAACTGGAATGGAGGTTTTTTTATTTAATTAATACAAACCTCCAAAATGCACCTCTGTGTCTCGGTTAACCTCAAATTTGGAATTTTGTTTCATTACTGATATTTCAAAGGTTGTTTGGCTCCTTTTTTTGGTTAGTTTAATGCTGATGATTTTTCCATATTCATCAGCAAAACTGTGGATGTCATTCCGGGAAGAAAGGCTCAATGTTTCACCGGTCTGTGCCCAAAAACCTCCTTTTTAAGGTGTAATATGTACATGTATTTCCTAAATTTCTCTCCTTTGGTGATTCACTGTTCGTACATGTGCGTATAGAAATTTAACCCTTTCCGAGAGATATTTTCAGTGAGGAAACCCAAGACTTCTCAATTTTGAATAGAAAAACCTATGCACTGAACCATGTTGTCACTGGATGACATCACAGCAACAGCGCCCTCCTTTGTCTGAGAAGATTGTTTGAAAAAGTACACTTTTCAATACGCAACCTAATATAGGAATAGGAATATCAAAATCATTTCCATGCATTTGAACGAGAGTATAAATTTGTAGGAAAATTGTGTCAGACCAAAATTCACTGCTGGCTCTACACTACACGTTTCCACATGTCTACATGATTAGTAAGTACGCTGTTTTCTAGTCAGGATTGTTTAACATGTTCTTAATACTTTTTTCTCTACTTCTCTATCGATTGGGTAATTAACCAAACCAAAAAAACTTAAAAGCTTTTATCATGCAAAGTTATGGAGTCCACAAACTTTTACAAGATGTGTCTTATTAGTTCGGTAACTTGTGCGATAAAATGTCACATACATGCATGTACATGAAATTTCGATCACTGCTCAATGCTTTGTGAACTCAACTGCAGTTCTATAACTGAGTGGTTATGCACCACAACTGACGGAAATCTTTCATGCAAGTGATTCATCAGCTGAAATGTCAGCTGTCACCTGCCCTTTGCCTGCACACAACTTGCTATACGCCTACATACATGTACATGTAGCTGTGCCCCATCAGAGTCATAATCTAATCAGTGGATATGAGTCAAATCACAGGTCAGGTGACAAGTACTTGTACAGTACGCAAGAAACAAGCTGATGATGACAAGGGAAATGGAATGCCTTTACTATTCCTTTTGAACAGCTTGTGACAAGTTGACAGCTGACTGAATGGCTTGTGGTGACTCGTAATTGACTTGTGATGAATTCAATTATACGTGGTGTACACTGGACGTTGCGTCGCTAAGGAAACAGTCGTCGGCATGTATGCAGACACTGCATGCTTGAATGGACCACTCAGCCGGTGCATCGTAACGTCATCTCGAGGTACTGTATATTAGCATACAGCTTGAATCGCTACATGAAGAAGATGGCAACTTCCAGCTCAGCTGACAAGATAAGAGTGTTTCCGATTTAAACAGGAATTTCTCTTTTCTTCAGATATGTGAGTAAAATTACATGTAACGGCTACTGTTGGAATATTTGATTTTCACTGAATCCTTAGGTGGATGCACTAGACAGTTTCAGGACTGTTGGGGGGTGAATTCTGAGGATTTAGATTCAGGGTACGACAATGTACAGCTACATGTACGAGTGAAATCAATTAACCCTAACCCTCCTCAATCCTTCACCTGTTGGAGGATTGGGGAGGGTTAGGGTTAATGAAAGGGAAAGCCTAAAACGTGCACTTGTATTCTACTATCACCCGACCATGTCCAAAAGTTTAAAAAGGTGATTTGTAGAGTCAAAGTCAGGCCTACTCGGACAACATGTAGGTGGGCCTAGGCCTACATGTATCATGTGTAGGGAGGCTCATAAATTTTTCAACTATTTTTTTCGGTATTCTTTTTGAAGTGATCTTAGAGAGGATGTCATATGGAACATTTTCATACATGTATAAGTTTGGATTCTGCACACAAGAGAAATACTGATTTAAAGCAAGGATATTTTGAAATGTTTTGATATTTTTTTTGTACATGTGTAATGGAGAGCAAACTGTGATTTTTGGTACACAAAAAATGAGTGTGGATTTTGACTGAAAAGCTGAAATTCACATTTCCATAAAATGTTTATTCTTACATGTATGCCTTATTTCAATGAATTGCGAGTTGGCTTCGCTTAAAATTTCAAACATTGTGAAACTGGAAATTAAATAGAGGAGCTAAAACCTGCGGAAAAAGACAAATTGTAACTACATTCACAATTTCCTATAAGAAAATGAGTTCCCAAATAAACACGCCCTCGTTCATTTATGCATGTCCCTATCATGTGTATTGTAGAATGATGTAGAAGAGGGCACAAAAGTAGGGGGAACTGTGTATACAGATCAAACATTAGTCTGCTTCCCATGACATACAAGATTACTGATCATAGCCTACCAGCCTGCGCACCCCCTTCGGCACCCTTGACTCCATCATGATCACTGGCCTGGCGTTCCCGGGCGATCCGCTCCTCCACCAGCTCGAAGAACTCCGGCAAATTTCGCACATGTAGTCGACCCAGTAAGGTCTCGAATTCACCAACTGCTTGCACAACATCCAGGTGAACTGCCATGGTTTTAATAACAGATTTTGCATAGATAATGTATGTTTTCCACACAATCACAATGCAAACTTTCAGACATCCTGAGGAAAGTCTTTCCAAGACCCTGGGCTACATAAGTAATATAAGACACATGCATGACATGCCTGTCATGTGTTAGCTCTCTTAGCTAAGACTCTTGGTGGCGCTTCTTCAAAGCAACGATCCCTCACGAAACCACATGCATGGACTTGTTGTAGCTGTATCAACTATCATACTTGTTGATCAGTCATCAGCATCCGTCTCAGAAAATGAACCAAGTCGAAGCAGATGAAATCATAGCAAAACGTTTGCAGCAGCAAGTATGGAGTGCAATGATGGACAGAGTTCCATATACGGACGCCGCTCGACACCCTGTTTACAAACCCTATGACTGAGACTGGTCTGAACTATCTCTAGCCTAACCATGCTCATTGCCTAACATTAACAACAACGTTAACTTAAGTGAGCATGGTTAGGCCTAGTGTTTTCTAAGTAAACGCCTTGGTATTTTCCTTCCTAAGTTGAACTTTTCTAAACATGTTTTTGCTTTCTGAAGGCTAGGTCGCTGTAGGGAAGTAGGGAATAATTACTACTCCGTCCGTATATGGAACTCTTTGTGCAATGACTTGTGCCTCGGTCCTATATCTGTCTATGTTCTTGCGGCATATCACGTTGAGCACAATAAGGACAATAAGCCATTTATGAGTTAAATTCCAATAAAATCTGTTACACTGAGTTCTTTAAATTCACGTGGACATAACTTGAATTCTCCAAAACTACTAAAACTGCTGTTGCTATACCTCGTGATTCGAGGCAAGCTTTTCATGCTTTTGCTTAGTTGCATAAGAGACACCTTGCAACAATACACTGTTCTTAATGATAAGAACGGCACAAAGGAACCAGTCCATTCCACAGATGGTGGTTGTTATGCAAAAGCTTGCCCCGAATCACAAGGTACAGCAACGATGTTTTTAGTCTGGGGAATTCAAATTGTTACGTTTCTGTGCTGTCAGATAACACAGTGTACCAGATTTTGTTCAAATTTAACTTGCAAGTGGCTTATTGCATTAACATGACGTGGACTGGCAATGAAGCCATTAAAGTACTAACTAGTGCACATCTGTGCACCTGAGGGAGTGTGAGTGACTCTTCCATTTGTATCTTCTTGTCACTCACTACATGGAGGTTGGAGCGGGGCTGACATCGGACCCCACAGTTCTGGGGCTAGAACCTGAGGTTATTCACAGGCTAGGGGGATGAGTGACCAAATAATGCCACTCATTGCCAGTCCCATTAAGTTTAGTGTAACACCACTGAACATGCCTCAGTTGTAAAATGTATTATAAGACAATATAAAAATTAAGAGTTTATAGCTTATTAAACTGGAATGTTTTTACTTCAATTATGTTAATCTGAATCATGTAGTTGGCTAGACATTAGGACACATCACACCGATTAAACTTACAGGAAACTTGCTGCTGAACAAGTGAACAATTTGATTAGTTCTGCTCTAAAGGATTTGTGAGACACCTCAATATTTGATTGATTTTTTGGGGACAACAAGCTGAAACACAAGAAAAAGACTAAAATGAGATTAAAAGAAAATGCCGCCCGTCTTCGACGCATGCCATCAAATCTTCATGGTGGAATTCAGAACTTGTGCGGTTTAAGACGTCATTTTCTTTTTTGTAAAAAACCTCCACAGCCACAAAACAATGAAAAGGAAATTCACACATCCTGCAGTTTTATGTAGGATTCATTTCAAAAGAATAAGAGGGTGACGTTTATACCAAAAAAAAATTGAGAGTGACTGGATTCAAACCCGTGGCCTCAAGTTCTCGTTGGGGCTGGCTCCACTTGCCATTACTGCTCAGCCAGGTCCCCGTGGTGAAAGGGAACGTGAATTTAATACAAGATGTGGTAACAGTTCAGTGCCGGTCATGGAAGAAAAATAATGTGTGACCAGATGACAGCAATGTACACGTATACACTTTGTAATTTGTACCACTGTTTTGGAACTAAGCCTGCCAATAAAATAGGTCAAATATACCGCTCACTGTTCATCACGCATGACTCCAATTGATGGTCAGTCATTGGAAATAAGTTGAAAAACATGTATTGCATATAAACATTTCAATTTGGTTAGAATTCAATGTAATTGGTCGATCTGCACAATCAGTAAGCCTCTGCTACTACTATAGGTATGGATGCTGTAAGCTCTGCTTTTATTTTTGTAGCTTGATGCAGAGCTAGCCCATTCTATGCAAGACCACCAACATCAAGGGAAATATTCGGCAGTGGACGACCGCTCTGACCACATGTCAGACACTGATTCAGATGCAACATACATCGAAGAGGAGGGGGTCGTTGAGGGCCAACCCGGCCCTACAGAATTTCCGACCAATCAGAGGGCTTCCGAGGCCGTGGCCCTGAAGCGGTCTGTGACAGGCCACGATATTTCTGATTCTGACTCTGAGAGTCCAGACGAAACATCTCAGTCACTGCTGGGAAGGAAGAAAAGCAATGGTGAGCACTCATCCCAAGTTCTGTCACTCAGACTTCTCTCTTTGTGACGTACCTCACAGTCCTATTCTTGGCTGATGGTAGTCAGATGGGGTTCAAACCATCCGCCCTGAGTGCACCCTCTCCGGCTAAGTAGAGACATCCTGGTGGGAAGTTTTTCAACTGAGCTGGTGCACGTGCCCCGTGTGCATGTGAAAACCATACATTCCAACATAAATTAGGGCTGAGTCAATATTCAGACCTACCGACTGGCAGATTGTCGATGAACAAACCAAATACAAAATGAGTTGCAATAACTCACACAATTGTACATTGTAATCACTGTAATAGCTTCTCATCACATCTAGGAGTATGTCCAGCGATTTAGCATGATTTAGAGATGACGGTGCTGCTTGTCCTGACGAAACTTTCTATTCCTTTTAAATTTTTTAATGAATAATTTACTTTTTGAATCATTGTAAGATTTATGGTGCTCTTCATTTGAATTTGCTTGAAACAAGCCTCCATAGAGCAATTTTTCTCATTTAAAAAAAAAGAAAATTCTCCCCTTCTTTCATGAATTTTGCATTTGAATATTCAAATTTGTAAAATAATATTCAAATATTTGAATATTCGAAAATCTATCAAATATTTGGCACAGCCCTAACAGAAATTGATGGCACGCACTCAGTGCATCCCACGCCAAGTGCCCATAAGCCAATGGACTCACATGGTGAGTTTCCACCAAAGGACCGTCGTTTCCATGTAAAAAGCACCCCTCATTGTTTTCCGCTCTGTAGATACCTGTAGTTCAAATTATTGACAGGATTGACCAGGGAATAAAGTGGGTGAGGGAGGGAGATTCCATTTGCATAGAAAAAAATGGCCCTTGATTGGGTGTTTGTTAGAATCTTTTTCAAAATCTAGTCATTGTCAGTTCAGAACTTTGAACGTGAAAGTGAGGTAAACCGTGGATCCATGGGTAAACCGGTTTTTGAATAGAGCCCAGAGTAGGCTGCTTTTCATTTTAAAAACTTAATGTAAAAATTTTACCAAAAGCGGATTGCATCATACCTGTTTAATATTTGTGGTTTGCCTCTCAGTGGTAAAGTCACCAAATTCTTGCCAAAGTTCGGCAGCATTTTGACATAAGAAAATATATTTTTAGGGGGAGGGGGTGTTGACTGTCATGTCTTATTATTCATCTCATAATTATCTCATTAACATCCACAGCTTCTTCATCATCAGCTTCCTCAAGCACCGCCGCCACCAGGGCTGCTGACTCCCGAGTAACAACTTCCGTCCGGAAGACCAAGGAGGCACCACCTGACCCGAGTGGGAACCCATCCAACAGCCTGAAACCCAGGTGCAACTATGGTGGAAAATGCTACCGGAAAAATCCCAGCCACAGGATGGAATTTCGACATTCAGGTGCGTAATATAAGGCTGCGTCTAACTGACTTGACAGCGGCTTGAAATTATGCAGGAGTCTATGGTAGGTGGCTGCAGCCGGTTCCCATTGATCTGTGTGTAACTTCAAGCCGTAGCCAGATGATCCGGCCACGGCTTAATAAAATCTTAACGTTTCCATCTCCACCTAAACAGTTTGCTGTCACGAATTCTGTGGACACTGTTGACATGCCTTTGATTTAACCTTCTTGTGCTGCGTTGTCCACAGCACAAGCCAACTTCTTTTTCCCCTTGAAGCCTCCATTGCCAGTCCTTGGTCTTTCTTTCACAAGCTTCTCCCAGAGACTGTCTAACTCCACCGTCCAATTTTCTAAGATCATATGTTCAACAGAAATCACCCATTAACAATTACCGTGTATATGTGCTTAGCCAAAATCAGCTTGGAACCAGTCAGAAACCAATGCACATTACCCACGTTTTGGCTGGTAACCCGCTTCTGGTCAAAAATAAAGTTTTCCCACTGAATAGCAGCTTCACCTAGCGGCTCCACCTTCTCAAATTGTGTAAATTTTCCTTCGTGCAAGTGGAGGTTGCAAAATAAATTTTCGATTTCAAGATCTCAGTTTCCCGTATCATTAACGAGACATCTCAAAAACTGTTCAGAATCTACAGATTAATCATCCTTCTCAAGCTTCCTACCCAAGTGAATGGATTGTGTAATGAGATTTGATGATTCAAATCATAAATGGGTTGAGTGTTGAAAAAAGGCTGTTTCATCGTGTGCCCATATGCCCTTTTGCCCGGAAGCATGACCACAGTAGAAAAAATGTTCCCGGTATAAAAGGGCATAAGAAATACGCTCTCTTTATTTAGTAAAAACAGATAAAATTTACGACAAAATCAACACGGGCTGTGCAAAAGCAATCTTTGAACAACTTATCAAAGGACTTGGGAAATTTTTTTGTTACCATTTGCAAAGAAATCTTTATATTTCATTAAAATAAAACAGTTGCATACAAATGCCCTTTGCCGGGAACATTTTTTTGCAGCGATTATGGTTCCCGGCAAAAGGTCGTAAGCGCTTACGTCCTTCTTCCTGGCACCCGACAGTTTATTGACTTGTAGTTATTTTGGGTTATTTTATGAACATGGAACAACCATATCAGCAGATTATCTCCGGTGGCTATCAGTATTTGTACTATAAGGGGGTTAGCATACTGAGCATAGAATAGTATACTGTGTAGATTGTGGTAAGTGAGCTTGCTCATGGACACAAACGAGATAATTGGTATTGCTGTTGCTCTGTTAGATGAGGATGAAGAGGGTCTGCCTCCCAGCAAGAGGTTGAGGAGGGATGATGGCTCCGCCTCTTCCTCCACATCACCTGCTACGTCTGCTTCAAAGAAGACCTGCCTGGAGATCACGAGGGAAGCTAGCCCTCTCTGCTTCCTCCTCACCAAAGTCTCAGGGATACCGGAAAAATACAACAGCTCATTAGCCGTGCACATCTCAGGTATGTAAAGCATGCTATTGTAACCTTAATTGAGCCAGCGTGAGTGGAATCCCAAGGGGTATTATCGCAGTGCTTTGTTTTTCATGTTGAGCCTTCAGGAGATTTCCCTATAATGGTTTTATCGTTTTGACACCAATGTTAAGCAAATAAGAGTATGAAACACCCATTTTTCAAAGACATAAAGATAAATAGCAAATTATCTCACAATAAAATTAATAATATAACTCACTGGCTGACATGCGTGATGCCAGTTATGTATCTGTTTGGATTGGTTGTTGCCAGGGTATTGTGGATGATGTCATCCCTATTTTTGGCACTGCCACGGCTGGCATTGCATCAATGTCATGTTTTCTCTTTTCTCTCAGATATCTTGTCGCCATGCATGGGTGATCTGATAGCCTCAGCCCAGTTCAACTACATGTTTGACATTCCCTGGCTTGTCCAGCAGTATCCCACGCAGTTCCGGTAAGGTTGAGAAAGTCTCCACGGTTTTTCTTTTGAACTTCTTCATTTTGATGTGAACGCAAGGTACACACTGCATTGCAACGATTGTATTTCATGCGTTGAAGATTTGGATGGAGTTTCGGATAGCCCTGCAGGGGTCAAATTTTGTGAAATATCAGCTGGACCACAGGATTAGTACCTCGGTCATTCTGTAAATTCAGGGTCCAAAAGTGTGACTTTTGGTGTCCCTGTTACAGCTGACCTGTGTAATTTGACATGGAAATATCACTGAAATTGATTTCAAACTGTTACTATTTGTTTGGCGGGTAATTTGCATTAATTTATCACTCTTGGAAATTAGAGAATGTGTTCAGAACTTCCAAAATCACGTCAGATGTGACAGGGACACAAAAAAAATTGGACCCCTCATCAGGCCTTGAATTTGGTAATGTTTAGGGCAAGGCCATTTTAGCCTTGAATTAAGTAAACTTATAGAGGGCATCAAGGCCAGTTGGGAGGGCACCAAGGCCAGATAAAATCTGTAAACAGGTCATGGAGGCTAAATGCCAATATTCATTCATCAAAAGTTTTGACAATCAGGACATGTATACACCGCATACACATCCCCACAGCCGCACGCACCCGCGCACGCCTCGCACACAGACCTCAATGTGAATCAATGTGAATTGTGTCCCACACATACAAGCACCGAGAAAGAGGAAGTCAGGCAACTCTGCACAAGAAATCTTTGGCACGTACTTCTGCTGGAATGTGCGGGCACAAGACATTTATCTTTGCAGCGGGCGTGTCGCTGCTTGAAGTACTCCGGACCCGTGCTTCTATGTACAGGTGTACAGTACATGTACATGTACACTGCATGCCTCGTGTGGACATACACGATGTACATTCAGTGCATTGACATCACAGCCGGTGCGCATTGTATGCAATGTCTGTCACTGTCTGTGCATTGATTCTGCGAGATTTTAAGACATCCGATCGGGATGGCATGACATCGAAATACACTCTCAATGGGTTTGCAAGCATCGCAAACCAAGGATTTTTGTGTTTTAATAGGCTTATGGAAATTCATGGAAAATGGGCACAATGGCCAAGGTAAATATACAGTATAACTAGCTGTGAGGACGGAGATTTTTGGTAGGGCACCTCGGCTAGTGGGAAGAGCAACGATGGCACTGGCCGTCGTGGCCGTCGTTCATTTCAAGGCCTGACCCCTGATTTGTAGAATGACCCATCTGCATGTTACAAGACTGACACAGTATTTAATAAAACATGTGATTCTGAACCAAGCGATTACTAAACATGTCCTAGGGTTGTCCCTGGGGTTTTCCCTATTGTTAAGGTGGTCAGACAAATTTGCAAAAATGTTTTGGCACCTAAAATAAAAACGAGTGTTTTCAAAAAGGCCTAAATGAATACTTATTACAAAATAGTACATTTACTCCAAGTTTCCCTCTAATATTAATTCATCTTGAATGTTGTGACCCTCTGTATCATTCTGAATACTTTGAAACTGATCTTTCTCAAAATATATAAATTATGTTTGCTTTTTCCTTCCATCTTTGCCTGTTTGAAGTGTGGTAAAATTCAACAGAAAAGCCTGAGGTTGTCACTAACATCAGTGAGGTGGGCTTCCTCACAGTTAAATAAGCAGGGGAAACCCTGACATGTACTGTCTCAACCTGTTACACATGCATGTTTCTAATACACATGCCTGTATAGGTGCATGCACACCTTTTGTAAAGGTGAACGAACACCTTCTGTATGGGTGAACGTACACCTTTTGTATGGGTGAACGTACAACTTTGTATAGGTGAACGTACAACTTTGTATAGGTGAACGTACACCTTTTATATGGTTTAACGTACACCTTTTGTATGGATGAACGTACACCTTTGTATGGGTGAACGTACACCTTTTATATGGGTGAACGTATGCCTTTGTATAGATGAACGTACACCTTTTATATGGGTGAACGTACACCTTTATCTCAAAGAAAGTTAAGCTTACACAATTTCATTTTTGGGGGCAAAAATTTTGGATTGATTTGTGAGTAAAAATCAATTATTGGAGTGCTGTTCTCGTACTGATATCGACACTGCAAGACCATCATTGGAATCACTGGCCTTGGTTCATCGGTCCAGTCGAGGCTGATGCGATGACCAGAATTTGAGACCTTTAGTGCGGTGGTTCTACATTTGCCTGAAGGTGGTTTGCGTGTCATCAAATACCTCTTTGCCCCTCGGGCACTGTGGTTTGCCAAACTGCACCTCAAGTCTGTGAACATGTACTTGAGTGTATAATGAAATCCAACAACCAGAATTACCGGTCAAGGTTGCGCTACACATGAAGAGGTGGTATGTTTACAGATACGTGCAGGTTACATGCCTTTTCGATCAGTAGGGTGTCTTGATCTGCCAAATGCACAGGCATGTCAAGCTTAACAACACTGGGAGGGGTGTGTGTGTATGCAGTGCGGCTACAGTTGTGGCATCTCACTGGATCTGTCTATAAACTGGACTGGTCCGTGTCTGATGATATTCACGTGCGAATGCACTATTGTAAGGTGAAACAAAGCGGTCAGGTCCTTGTTGCATCCAGAGACCGTTGCCTTTTCATCAGGTGGTTTGCTTGCCCAACAGGTCCAAGACCCTGCTGATTGTACACGGGGAACAGAGGCAGGCCAAAGCAGCCCTCCATGAGGCCGCCCACCCCTACTCCAACATCAAACTCTGCCAGGCAAAACTGGACATCATGTATGGCACCCACCACAGGTACGGTACATACCTAGTGGACAAACGGTCACAAATCAAGCTGCTCACCTGTTTGACCCTGTTTCTGTTTGGTTTTTTTTTCATCTATTTGTTTTCATTTAACCGGGATACAAATCTGGGGAGACAACAGAGGAGAAATGTTCAATTGTAGAGGTGGATGGAAAATCGTAGACAAATATTCTTGGGTAAACCAACAGAGTTTGGTAGGGATGGAAATCCCATCCCTTTGTGGGCCTGGGATTCGAACCTTGGGTCACAGAGGCAGTTAATTTCATTCCTCAAGTCAAGTTAAAATCAACTTCCATCTTCACTTATTCTCCACATAGTGAACCATAACTTGCTGATACCTTGGGATGCGTAAACATGGTCTGGTGATCTATATTGGCGATCTATATTGGCGATCTATATTGGCGATCTATATTGGCGATCTATATTGGCGATCTATATTGGCGATCTATATTGGCAGACCTGGATTGGTTTATGGGGAAAACTGTTACATGTCCACCAAGTCTCCAGCGATGGATTCACATGTACATTGTACGTGCCTCATTTCCCGTTGGTTTTCCACACATACAATATTGAGGAAACCTGTTAAAATACACCATATCTTGAGGTTGACCACAGCACATGGTCTGCGTGGTAACAAATACTGCTCCTGTGTTGCAAGATACGAGCTTAGTAATTTCATGCAAATAGCATATAAGCAACCCTGAGGAATCAGTATTTGTGACGTTTATCAGTATATTAAAAATGATTGTGCTGCTAAAAGATGTAGCCAGAAAATAATAATACTAATTATAAAGTGTTTCAACAAGGCAGTGTTCAGGCGACAGCTCTGAACCCAAGTGCTACATGCGGGACTTCACAGAGAGCTTCCTTTTAATACGCTTCCCTGGGACACCACGTTTGTGTTCTGACCTTCGTTCTTAGGACAAGTAGCTGGTTGTGATAACCTTGGTGGTTAAATATCAAGTCTTTACTTTTAATCCCAACAGCCCTAAAGTTTTGCAACCATTTTTGCAATCAAGTCAATCAAGAAATATCATTTATACAAGTCTTAAACTTTTTCTAATACTGTACGAAAGGGTACCTCAAGCTTTCCAAATTCTTGCAATGTTGCAGACCATTTTCTTTGCAGCTTTTTGGTGATTCTTTTTTTTTTCTCCCAGTAAAATGATGTTGTTACTGTACACCAGCGGCATGCGTGTGGTCATCCACACGGCCAACTTGATCGACAGGGACTGGCATCAGAAGACACAGGGGTGAGATCAGGTGGCCTTGTGCCCTTTGCCCTCTGTGAGTTCGAATCCTTTCATTCCTGGGCCCAATTTGACAATGCTGCCAAACAGCACAAAAGATGTGCTCAACACCGTAGCATGTTATCCAATACGTTGTGTTCACTAGCCCTCTTCAGAATCAAACTCACATAGTGTAACCGTAAACCTCCATCACATAGCATTTTTTCCCTCTTGCATAGAAGTTCAAATTTCACGGTGTTAAATAATGAAAAGGGAGATCCTAGAGAAAGAAGAGAATTCTAAAAACGAATGAGCTCAGTATTTTGTTCAAAAATAGTTGCCTTATTCACCCTATTAAATGAGTCACAGTGTAGGCTCCATCTAATCTAACATGACTACACAAAAGTGGTCGTGTTGTGAGAGTTTCTCTGTTAACTCAAGCTAACACACTCCTTTTGTCAAAACTTCCCCTCATTTTTTAACCCCCCTCTCATTTGCCACCTGTCCCTTGCAGCGTGTGGATCAGTCCTATCTTCCCCAAGGTGGACCCCTCCACCACTGGGGCAGACTCCCCAACATCCTTCCAACGAGACCTGGCAGAGTACCTGACAGCCTACAGGTCACCGTCTCTGCAAGACTGGATTGGGCACGTCCGGGGGCACGACATGTCACAGGCTAAGTAGGTGTCCCGGCCTGTCGTTCACATCAGTGCTATTGTAATTTTGCCATCGGTGTCGGTCATATTGCAGGAACTGTTGAGGGGTTAGCCTATGTCTCAACACTGGTTTCAGAGCTATATGTGCATGTATGACTTTGTCTGTTCTAGCATGTGCCCACAATCTAAACTGGATAAGAGATATAACCTAATAACCTAATTTTAGGTACAAAATTCAGACTCCATCTCATTCATGGAATAAAAGTGAGCACTTCTAGAAAACTGAGGACGCAGTGGCGTATCCAGCGGGGGCGGGGGATGGTAACTTCCCCCCGTGACATTTTTTTAAAACAAATAACGTTTCTTAGATGAGTAGGAAAGTGATTGGTATATTTATTTATCAAATATTAGCACCAAATCCCTTAAAAAACAACACCACGAAATAAAAGCAAGGATATCGAGGCCATAAGTAAGGCTTTTGATATTTTTCTCTCCCCCAACATCATGTTGAATGAACCCGAAGCCGCACACGCTTGAAACGCCGCTGTTGGGAGGGTAGAGCGCAACCCCTTGTCACTGTGCCTGGAACTTGATCGGCGAGAAAATCACAAAATTTTTGTTATTTGTTGGCAGAGAGGATGTTTGCGGTTTGTGGAAAGCCTCGGGAGTTAAGGGTTTCAAGAGCACTTCTGGGACGTGTGTGAGAAAAGTATGGACTTGAAATGAAATATAGGCTCTAAAGGCGTCTCAAAGTGTAAGGAGTCTTATTGCCGTTTGAAAAATAGGGTGATTTTGTCATCTGGCAGGGTGCACATTATTGGATCTGTACCTGGTAGGCACGCTGGAGGAGCCATGCACAAGTGGGGACATATGAAGTTGCGACAGGTGAGTAGAAAGAAAGTGAGAAAGGGCACACTCACTGACCCACATGAGGTGACGTTCATCTCGTGCTGTCATAGGCAAAGACTGCGGCGTCGTGCCATGTATTTACAGTAGGTAGTTAGCAAGCCTTCAAAACTTTGGAAAATGGTGAAAAGTATGACAAGCATGTGGACCCAATACCCAGTGCTGGATCGAAATGACAGTGCCTACCATACATGGCACAAGTACAAGTGGTGGCCATTGCGCTATTTAATAAAGAACTCGCAGTTATTTCACGAGAAGATAAGCCTCACTAACAAATTAATCTACAGTGTACAACATATGGTCGCTATCATACTCACCTACTGCAATGGCGGTTGATTGACGGTAGCTGTAAGGTCACGTGTAATTCATTTGATCAGATCCCATACATTTGTGATGATGTTAGATTTCTGAGTTTTACTTGGGAATTTTAGGTGTTCTTTCCTCCTTCATTTCATTTTAAATGCCCATTGATTTGACTGACTCACGTGTATTCTGAATTCTCTTCCAATTTTATTTTAATATTCTATTCGTACACACCCACAATGTATAAACGTCTGCGCCCGTGCAGTGGCCTAGCTGGGGGAGGGGGCCTTGGGGCACATGCCCCACCCCCCACAAATTCCTGGTGCCCCCCAGGTGCCCCCCCCCCCACTGAAAAATACAGATGAATGGATATTGAGGGAGGCTGACAAAAACTTGCCCCAAAAAACCACCTCACTGAAAGCTGGTGCCCCTCCCCATAAGATGCTGGTGCCCCCTCTGTGCCCCCCCACACTAGTAAAATCCTAGCTGCGCCACTACACCTGTGATGACTTCAAAATCTTCTGTGCAAGAAATTGAGGCTGCATCTGAATCTATTGTTTAGAGCTAGGTCTTCGCTCCGTTGGAAATGTGTGGAGATGCCTAGACAATAGACCTAGCCGTAGCCTGGGATTTAATAGAGCCATGCTCCTCTTCCACATTTCTACCATTGAGGTGCTGAAGGATTGTGGACCAAATGAGGCCGATGTGAGAGGCTGGCCCGTGATTGGTCAGTTCTCTAGTGTTGGCTCCCTGGGCCCGGACAAAGACAAATGGCTGTGTGCGGAATGGCTACAGAGCTTGTCGCGGTGTCAGGGCTCGGGCAGGAAGATGCAAGGGGAGTCTGGAAGCAAGACCTTGAAACTGGTGAGATGGTCAGATCTAAGACTATGTTCAAAAGTTGTGGATAGAATCAGAAAGAACATGTACAGTGGAACGCCACTATAACAAACATGATGGGGTCCAAGCTAAATGTTCAGTATAGCGGTTGTTAGGTATAGCAAAATTAACTGCTGAACATTTCATTGCCATGTTGAATAGCGCCTTCTCTTGTCTAACTGATGTGCACCCTCTTGTGATGCTATGGTTTGCTGTTTTCGTGATTTTTTGCCGTTGCATTGACGTTTAAGGTTTCTAGAAATTTATCTGTTAATTATTTTGTTTTTTATTTAATATTGAGTTGCAAAATTGATATCAAATTTATTCTAAAAGTTGTGAAGCTACCGCTCAGCATTAATCTCTGATGCATCCCGTGGCGAATCTCGGTTGATTTGTGTATCAGCGGCGCACCCGATCATGCGGAGTCACAAAACCAGTGTCCATTCAATACCGTTGATTACTAGTGGCTTTCCCTTCTAATCCTTGGGGAAATAATGGCCACTTGTCACTTGCCAACATAAAAAACACCGACAGTTTTATCATGTTGACGTTTGGGAATTACAAACGGCAACTACATAGAGTTCGGTAGGTTATGTGCACAAATTATTGGGAGCCAAGGACGATATTCGGTAGCCATTGGCTAGCAGCTCAACTCCTCCTTGCACAGGTTTATACTTCTCCCAGCTGAAGCATGATGCTTGCCCAGTTTTCTCTGTGGACAGTTTACTTTTATTGGTTTGACCATGAAACGTGACATTGTGCACTGCATTTTAGTTCACAGAACGTCTATGAAGTGTCCTTAGTAAAAAACTTCCCTTGGAGTTTAGTGTTTGATACCGACATTGACTGTTTATTTCTCTAGATCTTCCCAACTAAGGATAACGTTCGGACCAGTTTGGAAGGTTACCCAGCTGGAGGGTCGATACCATACAGCATCAAGACGGCGAAGAAACAGCTGTACTTCAGTTCCTTCCTACAGTCAGTTACGCTCAATTGTCCAATTCAATGCCAACTTCCATGATTTTTATGTTCCATTGAATGACTTGAAGAGGTCACATTATACCTGCTAGTAGGTGTACACTATATGGAGCCCTGCTAATCATAGAGTGCTTCTAGTACAAAGGCTAGGAATGCTTTAATTCCACACTTTGTAACTCTGTGCTCAAACAAGCAAATTAAAGCAATGCCTGTGCTGTGTTTGATAGTGTGCCCTTACTGACTCGTGATGGGAAATATATCCACCATTGTTGCAGGTAAAGACTGCTGTGCTGCCAATAGCATGGGCAGTCGGCAAGCCTCCAAAGCCTTGATAAATGGCAAAAACTGTGAGCAAAATGCATAACCAGCGCCCACGCTGAATCAGTACGATAAAGAAAACTGCACAGCACAAGTGATGACCATTATTCCATTTGATATAGAATTTGTGGTTAGTTTACATGAAAATGAGCCTCATTGTCTACTTCACAACCTCTGATATACATGTATGGTTGCTAGCCAAAATGATTGACTACTGCAGTTCAGGTTGGATTTTTGGGAAAATTTCCTGTGTGGTCACGTGGCATTTTGATGCTATCACATCAGACCTTCCATTAAATAACCCCTGTATCAAGAACAGCAGTTGTTTCCCCTGTAATAGTCAGTGGAATGCCAGCACAAGAGGGCGCTCCAGGGCCAGTCCACACATCAAGACCTACTGCCGAATGTCACCCGACAGTGAGCACATTGCATGGTTCCTGGTGACAAGGTAACAACAATATGCCCGCTGTAATTATATTGTAGGCATGCTCCTGACCAAAAGTGAAGTTCTGTATTAAAAGTCCGATAGCTGATGATTCTCTGATGAAATGCCAAGGCTGAATCTTTTGTCTAGAGTGAGGGTGCCATCTTTGCTGGTTGTATATCCCAACAATCAATATAGTTGTGCTTTTGTTTGACCAGACACAAAAGATGACCCTACCCCCTTGTCCAGACATTTGAGATGCTACATGTAGGCCTAAATTGGGACATTTCTGTTGCGTTATGATTTATGCCAGTTAGGGTTTCAGATTAAGTCACCCAAAACAGGGCAATTCTTTGTAAATCGGGGTTTCAAACTGACATTTTTAAGGAATTCGAAACTTCTTATTAAATTAGCACTTACACAGTTGATGTAACTCCTTGAAAGAAAAAATGTTGAAAACTTATATCGATTTAGATTCAAATTAGTATTAAAATAGGTCAACTCATCAGACTTTTTCACTTTTATCCCTTATCCTATTGAAATTCAGGGTTTTGTTATAAAGTCCAAATCAATAATTGCCAAAAAACTTTATCTTTCACACAAATCATCGCAAAATCACTTTGTCTTGAGTAGGGGCATTTTATTTCTTGTTTCCTTGTAAGAAACCTTTGCCACTGGTTTACTCTCATTTTCTGAACAAGTGAATCCCCGTAGAAGGGAAGCTTGAAATTTTTTTTGCACAAATAGGTTCAACAATGAGACTTCTTCCTGAAATTACATCTTCTTTTAGCTCATAAATATGGCAAATTTGCAAAAGCATAAATATAAAGGTATTCATATACCCTTAAAAATGGAAAAAGATTAAATTTGAAACTAAGTTTAAAGGGGTCACAAAGGTACATTACAAGGACTGCAGGCAAATGACGGATGGTCTCTTTAAATGAGACAGATCTATCATTTCAAGCCTTGTCCCATTTGTCGTGAATATAAAATGGACTCGGTGGAATCGATGCTGCCTTCATTTCTGTCTTGGCAGTGCCAACATGTCCAAGGCTGCCTGGGGTGCTCTTGAGAAGAACGGACAACAGCTGATGATACGATCCTATGAGATTGGCGTTGCCTTCCTCCCAGCAGACTTTGTAAGTCTCTAAGCATTTACCCAGTAGCAGACTGCTCATAAAAGCCTTTGTTGAAGTGTAGTCAAAGCAAGACAAGTTGTGGGTGCGTTGTCTTTCCTTCAAATATAAAAACTCCCAAAATCAGCCAAGAGGATCAGCAGCAGAATGTTTAAAAGCAAACCATTCATTTTTTGATAGGAACTGCAGAAATTTAAAAAAAAAATCCTAAGCTGGGTTCCAATCTGCAACATGGTAGCTATTCAGCAGCCCATTTTGTTGAGCAACCTGCTCGCTCAACAGCCAGCAGATTTCAGAACTGGCAATCACTACACTCATGTAATAGAGCTTTGCTGCGCGTGTGCATAAAAACTGCACAGGGAAGATAAATTGAAATAGTAAGGTGAAGGATCACAGCATTATACGAATGTTTTCGTTAGTGCACAGAGTCAGGGGTCACGGCTTTGAATCCAGGTAGGGGCCTATGTCAGGACCTTTGGCAAGTCACTTCACCCTTACTTGGCACTCTCCACCCCAGTACCTGTGGGGGGCAGGGATGGTTGATTAGCTATTTGATTCTTCAATGGTAGCATCTAGAAGTATACCATATCATGCTGCCACTATCAATGAAATATTGTGTAACCTGACCATGGTAACCGCGCTGTGACTGATGATGTTGCCATAATTTTTATTGCCTAATTTGAGAAATCACAGAGAAATGAATACAAAGCCCCCTGATATTTTTTTAGGATGTATTTGAAAACTATGACAGCATTTTCTTGCTGGTTTGTTCAACTCAATGCCACACCGTGAAACCTGGCAAGAATTTGGAATCTGGGTGAATATTTGAGGTCAAGGCCTGTGTCTTTAACCACTTCACGCCGGGGTATTTTTCAATGTTGTTGATGCTGGGCCGGCATGAATATCATTTTTTCCGTTTTCAAAATCCTTCAAAAATTCATCATTTCATTTAACAGTCGTTTATTGCCGCACCAAGTAATCTTTTGGCACTANGTTGTATAACTGTCTTTTGTTCATGAACCTGGCTTAGTGCACTGCTGACCTCTTTTCAAAAGGGGCCAGATTAGCATGCAGCGGTGCTGTGTGGCTCATCGTTGCGGTGGTGGAGTGCTTTTGTCCCCGATGGTAATTCGCTCGCTCTCAATGCCCAAAACCCTGGTATATGGTTCCAAAACAAGGCTGGATTATCACCACTTTTGAGAATGAAAAATGTCGGTAATGCCCAGCAGCCTGGTCTTTTGTTCAGTGTACGGTCTTTTGTTACAGGGCCCTGTTTCCTTTCGGAGACCCCGGCCACCCATATAAACCGTATGTCTCCGATCCTGGAGACCCCGGCAGGAAGTGGTTAATGTAGCAAATGCTGGCCATATCTCAGAGAAACCAGATTTACCCATGTGTATTGACCGACTGATGGTTTGGCTCAATTTTTCTTTGAAGCAAATTTGTCTGTGCGATGGAGGTACTTCACCATGAAACGATGAATATTGAGGTCCCGTTGCCAGGACTGTTGAGATAATCTGTCCACTCTCATCCTCCTTACTTTGTTTCTTTTGGCCCCCATTAGCATCACTAGCATTTTTTACCCAGCGTTGGGGAGGGAAGCAGTCATCAGCAGCAAACCAGTGGGGGTCAATTCTAAGGTGTTTTCAAGCAATTGGTGATTTTTATCCCTTATTCTCCTTTTCATTTCTCCGTTTTTTTTGGGGGGGGCAGGGCTCCCCATGCTTCCCTCACAGAACATGCTAGCCCCCTTTGTGCCTTGTACAAGTGATGAATTCCAAACCAAACTTAAAGCAAATGCCTTACACCAAACCAAATACCAAGCCTGACCAAGCCAAACACTACCAAAAACCAGGTTAAACCAAGCTCAAATTAACCAAACCTGGCCAAGCCAATCACTACCAAAAACCTGGCTAAACCAAGCACAATAAAAAAAGAAACAAAACCTCAAAACCATCAAACCAAGTAAAAGTACTCCTCAGCAATGTCTCTGTAAAGGATTGTGAGTTTTCTGTAATCAATTGTATCATCAGTTCATAATCATTTTTATATTTGAACCTGTGAATTAATTCATGGAAACTGAAAGTGCCCATCTGTTCAGAATGCATTGCCAAAAGTTTGGCCTATTTGTCAACTTCTCTCAAAGCACTGGTAATTTATCCCCGGCCCTCTACAATCTTCTTCAATAAGTAAATATGAAGACTCGTCAAAATTTAATAAAGCACCTACTTTCCATTTGTAAAGGCCCATCAAACAGACCAGCATTTGCAGTTTCCACCTGCCTGCAAAAACAATCAATTAAATAGGTATACATTGTAACTGGCAGTTGTTCCCGTGGTAGGAGACAACTCATCAAGTTAATAGATGCGCACAGCAGTGCTGATTTGCTTGTAACAGCCCACACATTGATGTTTTTTGTCCATTCTGTTGCAAACAGACTGTTGTGGCAGTGTCTCCACATGTATGCTCATCAAGCAAATTGATGTATGCGGTAATCATTGTCGGCCTATTCAATAAACTTTTCTAAATAGTTGTCAGTTTATTTCATGCTCTTCCACTATACACGTATGTGTTTTTCATTGCACGCTCTGCTGTTGATCTTGGCTGCTTTGGTGGTCATGCGCTCGTCCCTCCCCCACAGACACACCCCACTGTCACAGTTGATCAAATTAATCAGCAATCATGTAATGAGGCCATCAGCCCATTGTGTCAATCGGGGCACAATTGGAAAAACTGCTGCATTAAGAGCAATTTCCCCCCCCCCTTAAATTAAACCTGCCTCAAGTAGGCCCTTATTGTGTCGGTGACCCCACTAAATAAGGCAGTCCTCGATCCTCTAAAAGAAAACTGGATGGAAGAAGAAGCAGACAATAGCCCATTGTGAAGTCAACAGTTGTTTGAATCAGATTGAATCAGAGTCAAGTGGATCGTTGATAGCACGGTGACCGTATTGACAAAAATGATGAAGGGTCGCCGGTGTGAACAAACATGATATGGAAGCAAAAGATAGTGAGTTGGAAGTTAATGAGAGTAGTGACACTTGTGGATGTCTTGTGCTTGTTTCTCTGTTGCAGCAGTTAATTGTGTTCCTACTTGCCCATCTTAATCAGGACTTCCAGCTATATTGCTGTCAGGCTCTTGAATTTGCTGTACAAAATGGATATTGATTGTAGCAACTGTGTCCAAGGTTGGCCATTAGTTTGGCTTGGTATGCATATTCATTGGCCATAGATTAAAAATTAGGAGGGACAGTCATTTTCCTGGGATGGGAACCCAAGGTTCAAGACTGTTTACAGCATATTGCCCTTGCTCTTCAAGCCTTCCTTATAAAGCAAGATAGCAGCTTCATCATAGCATTCACTTTTTTCCACCAGATGTTGGGTACTGTATTTGAAATAACTTGAGTTTAATCAAGTAGGTAATTCTTGTGAATATTTTCCGTATGTACATGGGCATCGATCAGGAGGGGGAATGCCAACCCCCCCCCCATATCGTTTTTCTTCATACATTTTTTGTTCCTTAATAAAACTTGTAGGCTTGCATTTAATTCTACAGTTCCTAAGTGATAACTAAATGAAGTACGCAGTAAACCTGACAGAAGCTTTTGTTCAGTGGTAAAAAAAATTGCCTCAGATTGCACCACAGAGCACCGAGATTGCAAAACTGTCTAGGGCCCTGGACCCCACACCATTAAGGGCATTGAACTTGCATTTTACTATATATATTTTTTTTGCTCAATATATCATGCCCCCTGCACTTTTCAGAGGTGATTAACTTTTGAGTATGTAAGACATCGGATACCTATATATACGCGGTGGAGCAGGAATACTGATAAATAATTGGGCATATTTGCATCTGAGGGAATGAAGGTTATCAGGAGGATTGGGGGTTGAAACCCAGATGTCAGTTCATTCCAGGCACTGGTTTGCTACACCACAGCAAGTTCCTGATTCCTTACTCATTTTGAGAGCCTCCCCATGTGTTAAATGTGGCTCTACATACACATAACTCTCAATTTCTCAATTTAAAAAAACGAACATCGAAAGATTTGTCTCAGATTTCCCTATTTTTTTCCCCAAAGCTCTCACTCCACTTGCCCTGTTCTAACTGGTGCGGTCACAGTTTCAAGAAATGACATTTGTTAAAGTGGGTCATATTTCTGTTGCATGATTATCCTGCAGGTTTCAGGAAGTACAAAGTTTGCCATCTCCCAGCCCCCAGCCTCCTCATCCTGTGACAGCAATGAGCTCCATTTCCCATTGCCTTGGGATACACCACTAGTACCTTACTCAAGAGATGGTGAGAAAGATCACAAAACTCCACTTGAAAAGTTGTGGGAGAGGGTGTGTCAAACTTGCCGACCCCTTACAGATTTGATTGTGAATTTGGAGGTGTTTGTCAATGATGATTTTGAATGGGAAACTTTTTTGTCTTTTTGAAAGACTCTGCTGGAACTGAAAAACAGGGGCTTTTCAGGGTCTTCGACTCTTAAGATGTTCCCTTTTCTGGTCACTATAGGCAGTTTCTTCATTTTTTATTTTGCAAACACAGACAATGAGAAACAGAGCCATTGAAGTTGTAACTTTACTTTGTTTTCCCCAATGTCTTCTCCGGTCAATAATTCACCACCGAAGTACTCACATCATTTGTGCCCACCACTTTGGAACATTAACTTCAATCTAGTTTTTTTCCTACTTCTTCTTCATCCCGTGCATGCATTATTTACCTGAAGATCGGCCCTGGCTGTGGGACATCCCCTACACAGACCTACCGGACTCACACGGCAACTGCTGGGTACCTCCCTCATGATCCTATTGAGATATGCTCATCTCTGCTGCCATCTTAGTGTTGCTTCCTGTGGACATTAGAAATACTGGAGTGGGATATGCTACTTCATCAGTGGCACCAGACCAACGCCTTTGCTTTTTAAATGGCATTGCTACCCCAGGCTGCAAGCAATATCTTACCATCCCCGATGGGTTGTCAGATACCCTTTTGAACATTTTCAGTCTAGTTCCTAGGAAATCCTTTGTGTTTAGTCTTGCAAATTTTTCTCAAATCCTTCCCCCCCCTCCTGTTAAATATGTGGATTGTTTCACATCCAAGGAGTTACACCTTTTGTCTAGCAAAGACTCGCTGGTGGATCCTTCTCGGGTCTGAAGATAAATTCAAGATGGCTCCTTCATAGAAAGTGAAGTGCCTACTCCCCCCTGGGAAGTTTTGGGCCAATCTTTTGTTGGATTTTTCAAAGCGTCTATGAGCTGCATGACAAGAATAACATTCATGCCAGTATCTATCTGCCCTGAGCCGAAGCACTCCTCATCGGTTGAGAAAAGCTTCGTTGGTTGGCAGTGTTTCTTTTGTTGGTAGCGATGCGACTGCAACGCTTACTCTCAACGGTCGTTCCTGAGCCAGGGATGCGCTGTTACTACCATGCAAGTACCAAAGGCGCCCCCATTGCTAGAAAACTTATACCCTCTCTCGGTCAAGCTCGGGGCCCATACTGACATGAATGCGATGATGTTTTGAACTTTCTCATAATATATTTATGCAAACATTAGTGGCATAAAAATTGAAGGTTTTTTGTATATAAGCGTGGTTTCCCTTCAAGCTGGACAGGATTCCTGGAGGAAATCTGATTTATGAGGAATTCCACCTAAACCGCATAAGAGGAGTCCATTCTAAAACTTTGAGAATTGTTTTTCCAGAGTTTCAGTTCCAATCAATTTGTTTTAATCCGTACAAAATGGACGCGTTCTTGCATACTGCTGGGCCCTTGACTTTGTACAACTTATAAATGTGGTCAGGTTATTTAAAGTAACTTCTTTAGACTATGTTGCAGTTATTCCCATTGTCCTTACAACAAAATTCATCAAAGTGATTGAAATAAACCAAATAACTCTCCAAATTTATCTTGAATAAATAAAAACTCCTCCTGTTTTCACAAGGATTCCAACTGTCAGTCGCAATTTGTCCCAGATGGGGACAGTTAATAATCTCTCTTTGAATCTGAGCAGATCTGGTACTGGTGCACGGCTGCAAAAAATCGTGCGCTATGACAATTCCAGATGTGCCAGCTAGTTTCCTGCTCGCACCTCATGCAAAGTGCTTGTGTTCAGTTACTGTAACAGTGCGCGGACTTTTTCAGTTGTGATTTTATTTCACTTTGTGAACATCAGAGGGTATATGAACCACAGAAGACCGTTTCAGTTCGTTTGGTCCAAGCATTTTAGGCCTGCTCAGGCCCAGCTTTCAGATCTGTAGTGGCACTGGAGCCAGAAGTAGCCAAGCTTTGAAAAATTGTCAAATGGCGGTCGGGAACATTTAGAAGGATCTTCCACAGAGAACATTCTAAGCCCTGTTCCCCACTCCCCCAGATCTCTCTTTGGGTCGGATCAAAGGTTTTTGAAACAGTGGCGCACCCATGGGTGGTTTTAATTTTTTCTGAAAATGAAAGAACAATATACACAACATCTAGACTACTAGCTGTGATACGGCCGCACAGTACACTCCAGTCCTCTGTGGCCCAGGGGAAGGCTTGAGCATCCTGAGTTACTTTAGGGGTGGACTTCGGCCTGAGGCTCCCCCCCCCGACGAATGTGGGTTTCGGCCGTGCACAAGCTGCAACAGTGGTGTGAGTTGTATTCCTCTATCTGTATTCGACCCGACCAGCGTCCGTGCTTGGTGAAACTTTTGCATAAAGGCATAAATTAGGGGCCTCACTAAAAGATTAAGGGCCCTTGAAAATACTGAGTATGCCAGAAAAGCACACACTTCGCAGCCATAAGAGAAGTTGCTAACAGTTTTCTGAAATTTCGATTTTCGTAAAGCTTCAAACTATGGTCTCGTAACTAGGGCTATTATGTCCTGAGGTGCAGTGGATTTCAAATGGGGGGGGGGCGCCCGCGGGAAAGGGCATTCGTTGGGGGCACGTGCCCCCCTCCCCCGGTTATGCCACTGCTTCTAAATAGTTCCGTACAGCTTGCATCAACATGAAATGTAAGGTTCCATCAGTCTTCACCGTCGCCGCAGTACTTGTGACGGTAGGCTTAGCATAGTAGGGCCCTACGAAATGCTCAATCCGGCCCTTGGCCTTCTTCCGTTATTAGGTGATGAGACAATAGCGATACATCCTTGGGTACTGCCGTGTTTGATCTCGGATCTGTTCGATGCTTCGTTCTTTTTCGAATGGCTCGGTTTTTCTTTCCAGCTCATCGCCTCACCGTTGTAGCAAACGGCAGCTCCAGCCCTCTCGATGCTGACTCCTGTAATCACTGTCTGGGCTGGTTTTGTTTGTTGCGAATGATGTCCATTTCAATGTGCTCCACGGTCCTGGACCGGCGGTGTCTGTGTTCGCCGCACGGACGCGCCAGACCCTGGCAGCAGAACGCCGCTGAGCAGGCGCTTCGGAAGTCGGCACTCACCCAGCTGTACACCAAGGGGTTAATGGCGCTGTTGATGCTGACCAGTATGTAACATGCCATTTGAATGGAGGCAATAGATGCCTGGACCTTGAAGTAATCCAACCAGGACGTATCAGACAGATTTAGCACCAAACTGTAAATGTTCTGAATAATTATCAGTATGCTTGAGGAGAAAAAAACAGTGTGGTTCAAGAAGAGGACAAAGGTTACCCTTATTTCTCGCCGACAATGCCGCGGAGGAGCTGTGCTGCCGCTCGTGTCCTTATTATGCATTTTCCTAATAATACCCACAAAGAGAATAACGTTGATTAACACAACAGGCGGGGTAAAGACAGTAGTAAATAGAAGTGGCAGTAGTGGTAAATCCATCTCTATCGTTACGCCGTACCCGATTCCAGTAAATATTGTCACCAGCCACAGTGCAGCCGATATCAAAATGGCACGGCCCTTGGTGGCCGTGGTTCGATACGTCAGCGGGTGGCGCACGGCGGAGAAGCGCTCGAACGCCAAGGCCGTCACGAAGCAGTAGGACCCGATGAGGTGAGCGAAGGTGGCCGATTCCACGGGAGTGACTTCCCAGTGGTCAGTAAGCACCACCAGCGTCATTGCGTGGAAGGCAGTGTCCACTACAGCCAGGTTGGTCAAGTAGATGTTGACGATCGAGCGCATGGACTTGACGCGGGCCACGACGTACAGGAACGTCAGGTTCGTCACCAGACCGACAGGTGCCACACACTTGATCGTCAGCAGCGCAATCGATGCGTTGATCTGGTCCCACCTTTTGCTGGCTGAGTATGCCCGGATTTCCTCCACGCCCCAACTCCTGTAGGCGTCACTATCAGAAAAGTTCGCCATGACTTCGCAGCAAAATGACCGACGAAGACGGAGAAACGCTGTTCACCGGCCTAAACTCTCCGGCTTCCTGTGCTGAATAAAGCACTGCAAATGCTCTCGCGCAAGGTCTTCGACAAAGAAAAGGTCTCGACACCCAGTAACTACAATGAAAGTGAAATCTTAAAATGGAGGACATTGAAACTTAAGGGAATGATTTTCAATACGTCAGTACTTGAAAAATGGTCGACAGAGGTAAGATTTCTCCAGATGGCTGCCGAAGATACTGCATGCCAGCATCCGACCAAAACACTGTGAACACTGTGAAGAGAATGGTTATCATACAGGCATCAAACCAGTCTGATAAAGCATTTACCGATATCGTCTTAAATGTGGTTCATTTAAACTTGTACATTACAAAAATACTTACAATGTTGTAAAGCAGTTTCTGAGACCCATTACGTTTTTGTGGTGAGCAAAAATTAAAGTGGATGGTGAAGAATTTTTCAGATTTTCAACGACAAAAAATGCATTCAATATTACTCAAAAAAGGGAAAACAATTTTTTGCAAGTCATAAATACCGGTATGCAACTGAATACATATTTTTGATGTATGTAATTATGAACATTGACCACTTTATAGAGTCATATGGTGTCACCCCCTCTCGCTTTTCAAATTTTGACGGCTGGGCAAGTCATCCCCCAACCTTTCCCACTCCCCCAAGTTTTTGCACAAATTCACGCCACTTCGCGAAGGCACGCACTTTGCTCAGCCCATGGGGGTGTAGTTAAACTGCTCATGCGATTTACCCTGCTTGTGACTGGCTCTCTGTTATTTTTTGCTAAGCACATCAACTTTGCTAAGCAATCGTTTATAAGTCCCATGAAAATGGGCGCAGGTTAAAATCTTGACATAGCTACTGTAAACCAGCACGGGGACTGTGGTGATTATGAATCCCTTCTACCGGCACGGTATAAGTCTGATATTTCAGATTCAATAGAAAGTTGAATGCAGATAGTGGTTTAGCATTCACTTCCTGGATGCGACACGCACAGTCGAAAGGAAAAGTCCGATACTCGGAATCTTAGGAGTTAGATGACGCGATCAAATTGCCTTTCAAAAGGAAGTTGAAAGGGCTGTGTACGTGATGTGACCTCTGACCACATTACATGTTGACTTCGCGGCGACTCGAAGCCAATTTCTCTCGTTTCGATTCAGGCAGCTCGAAATTCTCGGTTGACGCCCACACACTGAAGCCGTTGCTTTGTGAGGCTTCGAGAGTTCCGTTTTTTTCTCTCCTTCGTTTTCTCCATTTATCTCCCGTTTTCTCAATCTCCTTAATTGTGTATAATTCGTGCTTTTTTCTTTCTAATTATGTTTTGCGTTTTAATGATCAATAAAACATAGAAAGAGAGAGAGAGAGAAATAAATCAACACTGCTTCTTTCGAAACATCTTCGATGCACTGTACGCTTAATGACAAGACTGTTTAAACAGTGAACTGCGTCGTGATGCATACAGTAATATCTGCCACCAGATATTATTGTGTACAATATTACAAGATTGCACAGTTGTTGGGATTTGAGATGTCGGACTGTTGGTTTTTTAACATTGAAAAGTACATGTATATTCATGCATTACTTAACGTCAGTAGCGTAGCTAGGATTTTACAGGTGGGGGCACAAAGGGCCACCAGCATCTGGGGGGGGGGGCACCAGCTTTCAGTGGTGTGTTTTTGGGGCAAGTTTTTGTTAGCCTTGTTCAATATCCATTCCTCCGTTTTTGCAGTGTGGGCGCTTGGAGGGCACAGGAAATTGGGGGGGGGGGCGTGCCCCCCGGCTACGCCACTGCTTAACGTGTAACTTCAAATGCAGTCGTCAAAATAAACTTGAAAAGTACTGTAAGCTCCTGAGCAAGATGAAAGAAACGTGCAGTGGACATACTATTTTAGGTCAGCAAGAAGGTAGTGAAAATCAGTCTAGATTTGGGAGACACCCAGTAAGGCGTGACCAGATAGGTCACCGGGTAAATGTAACCGCGCAGAAAAAAAATTGCCTGGGTTAAACACTAACTCTATGGAGGGTGGAAACTGCATCAACCCAATAGGTCGTGTTAAAGCAATTTTCAGAGTAAAACTTGTGGTTCATTTTGTCTCCGAAAAATCGGTAAATATTTACCACTGTTTTGGTTCACACACACCAGAAAAGAATTCCAAACAACAAAATTGGCTTGCCGCAACCCCGAACTTTGATTAGTTGCAGTTTTCACCCTCCCTGGCGTTGAAATTAACCCAGGCAGTTTTCAGTGCAAAGTTGAACAAAGTTTGTCCAACGAAAACTCTTAGAAATTATAGAGAAACTGAAGGACTGAAACTGATGTACTAGTAACACCATAATGCGTCACTACTCCGAGCAACATGGCCGGCAACGCCGATATCATCGTCAATTCGATCAGTTCTTGGCACACTAATTTATCGGATAACGCGTAGGCTCCCCGCTACCATTTATGTCATGCTGAGTAGCTTTGGAATGCTGGCTGAACATAATTATGAAATGGTGGAATTATCTGTGTTGAGAATGAGATCAAAGATGAAGACAGTTCACGAAGGTCGCGGGAATCGGCTACCTACTGGCGGCGACTTTGAAGCGCCCAACACCGGGCGGTCAAGAATGTCCCAAGCACCTGGGCGAGCCATGTCTAACGGGGGGCTGGCAACCCAAAGTGTGCTGGGCTTAATTACCGATTAATATTAACGGCGGGCCCACCAGTCGGGAGCCGGTGTTTTCGTTTCAGTTTGGGGTCGCTTGCTCCGGACACTAGCGCCTTGATATTTCCAGGGTCTTCAAAGCTCACCGCTGCACAGCCGGCCTTCACTCTATACAGGCCATCACTATGGAAGGAAATAAGTGGATCGACTTATTTGTCTGGTTAATACCATTGCCATATGTTACCACAAACCTATTCAGTTCACTCTGCCTAAATCATATTTAAAAATTAAGATATGATATGAAGGACATCCATGAAATAAAATATTTAAGTTGTGTGAAAATAATACACAGAAGATCGTACACCATGGTATTATATTACACCATAAGACTAGAAAAACATATCTGCATCACAACCAAACGTTATACATGTATTTTTAAATTAAAAAAAGACCACAAATAATGAAATTTATCTATAAAAAGGGAGCGATGGGATTTTTATTGAATCGGGTGGTTCTTGCAGGAATTTAAGAATTTTTTTGATTTTTTTTTTGGAAATGTTCCAAGGTTTTCAAATCCGGTTGGAGGGTTGCACTAAGCAAGTGAGAATGTTTTTACTGAGGATTTGAACCATTTTCATACCCTGGGTTAGCCTCCTGACTATAAGGGTGTCCAGTTGACAAACCTCCAGATTGTTATCATTTGAGGTGGAGTTATGATCGTTGCCTTTGTACACACGCCAAGTAAAAAAAAAATCGTTTACAGAACAAAGTGTTAAAAGTGGTGTACACCATAGGTAAAATCCCGAAAATCGGACTACCGTGTAATCCTGAAATATCTTACTTGAAAAAAAGTACTCAACATTCTCAATCAGTATGTAAAATATTTCTTTTTTTTTTCTATTAAATATAGAGTTAATTTCACATCGCACATCACATCCTTTAACAGGCACCAATTTTCTTATGTAGTGCTTGAGATGTTGTGGGAGTCTCCCTTAATGGATGGATAAACCTAAAAGCAGCTAAAATATACCAACATTCTTTCACCAAAAGCACTGCAAACCGAAATTATAGAAACCCTAGTGTTAGGCATAGAGTAGAAAATAAATTGGATCAGTGTGAAGTTGAATTTTATGCTCGTGTATTTCTGGCGATTATATTTCTGTCTGCCAAGTCCCTAACAAATCGTGCATATTCTATTCCAGAAAGGTACATCGATAAAACCACCTTACACCGGCCCTTTTTGGCCGATGGAAAATTGAATAACTTTCTTTAATATTTACTCTCCAGCTGGGTTGGTTTTTGCTTTGTTCACGTTTATCTTTTCTGAGCCTGCTTTGAACGCCTTCTAAACGCCTTCCTGGTGACACCTTATGAACGTGTGTTAGTAATCCAAAGCTAACCACAGTGTGGTGTTCAAATCTGTGTTGCCGTGTTAATAAATGTAGACACAATGCCACATCTGGGTGTTAATAACAAGACACAAAAATATTTTTATCGGGTCACCGGTAACACTTTCTAATCACCAACACACTTTTATTTCCAAAAAGGTGTGTAATTTAAACGGTTACGTGTTTACAACTAACGCAAAAACGCTTTTATAATGAGAGTTGGTTTTTACATTGTGTGAAAAACGGAGCTTTTGGCGAATTTCCCCTTGGCATTTCGTATGTGCCAACAGCCTGTTGTTTCTGATGTCGCATTTTTGTATAATGTGTGTTTTCCCTACGTTTTGTGGACTTGATAAAAACCAAGACGCTTTCCAAACCATTAAAGAAAACGCGACCATACAAATTGTATTTCAGTGAAGAAAGTATTGAAACAGCGAATACGGACACGAAGACCCAAGCTATAGGCCCTGCTCCTCTGAATTTGAATGATACTGCACGCAGTTGACATTGCCTGGGAAATGCTGTAAATGTTAGATTATACCAGAAATGTTAATATCCGCAACGAAGTGATCATTTTAAACTATTTCAAGGGAGAGAAATAATCATACTGAATCCAAAACTGCTTACCCTCTCTTCTCTAAGGTACCCACTAACCCCCCCCCTTGATAGATGCCAAGTTTATGAGATGTAATAGCGCCACCTTGTGTCAGAGAGTGTCTATGTCTCTCCTCACTTTCCAAACATATGAACATCACTAAACGATTAGAAAGTCCATAGGAATTTGTCCAGTTTCATGATTTTATCACCACCCCTTCTGCTTACACCATTTTTTGTACTGTTTTAGAATTTTTTTTTAAAGAGAACCACCTCTTTTGCTTCGGCGAATGACATTTTTAATTTTTTATTTATTCTTATATCATTCTTTGTCATGAAAGTGGGGGTATCACAATAGACGCTTTGATTTGAATGCAACGTTCCACTGATAGGAATGATCTACCACCATTCTGGTAGAATTATTTTCAGAAGCCCACTTTTGGCTGTTCAGGCGAGTGGAAGCAGGAATGACTTCCTGAAGAACTGCAATATTAGTCCCATCATGGTCCCATTGAACGTCGATGATTGTCTTCTCGAAGTGTCGCAGCGACCTTGGCCGGGGCAACTTAGCGTATGGGTCTGCCATGGTTGCAAATCACTGTCAACCGTTCTGAGGACAGATTGACTAGTTCCTTTCAGTGACGATTCGCTGTGACAGCTACCAGGCTGTTTCGATCGATCCATATGCACCGTCATCGAATGCAATGTTTGACACGTTAACATCTCAGCAGTGACGCTAACTAGCATTGACTGACAGCCCCGGACTCGCG